TCTTTAGTCCCCTGTATTTTCTCTCATTGACTGTTCAACAGGTGTTAATAAAACCCTGTGGCAGGAACATCGCAGATCCAGTACTTTTATTTCAGTTCTATATCTACATTTGTGACTTCATTGGAATGTTTATTTCTACAGTATAAAGAGATAAATACATTGTTGCACACTTATTTACTTTCTCATAGGCAAGCCTGTGAAATTATTATTAGTATATATTCATTTAGGATCTGTAAATTTAGTATTAAACTTAAGATTACAGAGTTACAACCTAAACAAATTTAATAGGGAATGAATTCTATTTATAATAAAAGTTTCTAATATTATGATATTTAGAAAGCATGCAGTAATTTAAACTTAAAAAATGATTCTATCTGGAAAATGAATAAGCATCAAATTTCAAAGTAATGTGGCAGATAAGATCTTGAAATAATTCCTCCACAAACAGAAAAGGGAAACAATAAAACAATATTGAATTAATTTTTTTTGTGAAATAAGATCTAATGAATGGAGAGGTGGTTATGATCATGGCTTCTCTAAGTGCCAAAGATAGCATGCACTTTATTTCTGAAAAGAATGAGTGGCTTTTCACAGTAGATTATGTCAACTTATGCCAGTGGGATCTGGAAAGACATTGATACCCAATAACCAATGTTATTAAAATTACTAACTCAATACAACCAACATAATGATATACTATGTCTGGTGGTCTTCAACCACCATTTCATGAACTGCTACCAGGTCACAGTTGTAGAAAAGTTGAAAACCAGCCAAGGTATCTGTGGACTGGTATATAAACAGGTGCCAGTCTAAAGGTGTAAAAGGCTGAAGAAGGTTATATCTATAACTATGTATTTATCAGTGCATTATTTACTATTATAGATTGGGGTAACATGCTCTACTCAGTGCTGTTTCAGTAATTCTCAGCTACAAGACCTGTCTTTGTCTCCGAAGAGACACAGTGGCTCTCTACCTTCTCACTTAATGTGGTTAAAATACCCATAGGAATTTTAGCAACCTTGCCATTATATATGCTATTTACATGAAAGATCCTAACTCTGTTCCCTGATTTCTCCCAGAAGACAGGATTTTATTACACTGACGATGTCCTCTGGGGAGAATATTCATTCATTTATCCATATGAAAGGTTCTTTTAGGACATACAAGTACAAATGAAGGGGCATACAGAAAGGCATATGCCATTTTTCCACATGTAATACCAGACTCTGCCACCCTGATAAAGTTTCTAAAATTTATTTGAGGAGCTAAGTTTAATACTGTTCCATTTCTGGCCGTGTCAAGACCCAGCTATTGGACTGCTCAGCCCATAAAACATTAACGTAAGTCCAATATCGTAGTTCTTTTTAAAATATAGAGGCAACACAGTTCACATTTATAAATCATTAGTGTTATTTGCAAACCAGTGTACTTAACTAGGGACCTTTCCAACAGAATATTAGAAATTTACATAGCAAAGTAATTTACTTAGAGAAATGTGAGGGGAGAGATGAAAGAGAGAGATATATGTTCCAGAGAAAATATGGGTTTCTCCAAGAGTTGAAAAAGCAGTGCATGGCTTTTGAGAGATTATACACATTTTCTTCAAATTGCTTTGGTTCAAGAAATTTGAAGATTTTGGCATCATATTTATCACAGTTCTTATGATGGAGCTCAGAGGATTGTTACTATTTTCACGAAAATGACACTGACAGAGAGACCATCCAAGTATTAGCACTGCTGAACAAACATTGGGTAGTCACCTTGGCATTGGATGTTCTGACCAATAATTATATTTTTACATATTCTTAGGTAATGGTCCAAAATTTCTTCCCTGTGGGTTAAATAACTCTGGAAAGCTCTTTCATCACATATTTCCAAAATATAAGTCTCTATATATTAAGGGGTGGAGTGTTAGCACAGCGGGAAGGGCATTTGCCTTGCACGCGGCCAACCTGGATTTGATTTCTCCATCCCTCTTGGAGAGCCTGGCAAGCTACCGAGAGTATCCCGTCCACATAGCAGAGCCTGGCAAGCTCCCTGTGGTGTACTTGACATGCAAAATAAAACAGTAACAACAAGTCTCACAAAGGAGACGTTACTGGTGCCCGCTCGAGCAAATCGATGAACAATGGGAGGACAGTGCGATAGTGCTATATATTAAGACTGTAATATTCACCAAATAATCCTCATTTCTTTTGATGTTGGTGAGTACCTACCAATAGTGATGAAGAAGTCAAGAAAGTTTTCAGTGGAATTCTTCTCTACAACTACTTGCAGTAGATTTAATTAGTTTAAGTGGCTCAATGGCTTCTGCAATGAACTCTGATGTATCTTATAAGGAGCAAATGGATCCTTCTGTGTGGGTCACCATTGCAACAAGTGTTTATAGAACTAAATTTTCAACCCATGGTGACAGGCACTCCCTATATCAGTGCCACACAGATCCTCCAACTGCTTTTAGTGGTCATAAAGGGGAGCATCCCCCAAATTCATATTTTTGATGACCACCTTGTTTTTTGGTCCTCTCTCTCCAGGTCAAGAGTCTGCCTTATTAAACTTTAAGGAGGCTTCTATTCCTATAAAAATTTGTCATCAGTAAGATTTAAATTACTTTCATATTGTATGGCTAAGATTTCAGTGCTGCCTTGCCATCTTGGACAACTCTGACACCCCAGGCTTTCAAATGTTCTGTGGGAAATTATGAAGTCCTCTCTAGTCACTAGATATGTGTCCCATCCAACAGACAAAGATCCCTACTTGAATAATTTATCAGTCAGACCAGCTGAATTTACTTAGTAAGTTTTACTTACTGGACATAAAAATTATTATATCAGTTACGTTCTACTAGATCCAGAGGTCACACCGCTCTTTGATTTTCACAAAAGTCCCACCTTATGAATCTTATAGCTAGATAAACTCCCAGCAACGAAGAAATGCTAAAGTGCTAAAAAAGATAACCTTAGCATCAGGGTGAAAAATGAATAATTCTATTCATTATTAGGAGTAGGACCTGTAGGCGTCAGAAGTGTTAAGGTTGTTGGAAAAATGGGGTGAGAAATGTCACTGTCACTGTCCTCCCGTTCATCGATTTGCTCGAGTGGGCCCACTAACATTGTGAGACTTGTTACTGTGTCTGGCATATCAAATACATCACAGGTAGCTTGCCAGGCTTTGCCACATGGGCGAGATACTCTCGGTAGCCTGCCGGGCTCACGGAGAGGGGCGGAAGAATCGAACTCGGGTCGGCCATGTTGGCTGCGTGCAAGGCAAACGCCCTACCCACTGTTCTATCGCTCCAGCCCAGGGGTGAGAAATGAGCTTTGGAAAGTGGGAACAGAGATTCTAGATTCCTTAGGAATCCTAATAAGAAGTTCAAATTTGCTGGGTTTCAGTCAGATGAAGATGTAACAGTGATTCTCAGGCATCTCAATTGAGTCCATGCTATGTGACAACATTGCTGGGATTTCTCATTTACTGGAGCAAAATAACTTTCCAGCAATACATTCTTTATTTATTCTTTTAACATAGCAGTTTTAGGGTAGATCTGGGTAAGATTTATAGGGATAATTGGATGTACCAGTGAAGGATGGATCTAAAGTCTTGTCATCAATAACAACTTAACGACTTGTCACACATGAAGTTTCAGGTACTTTTTTTTTCTTTCTGAACTTTATCATCGATTTCCTTGAGTGGGCCCAGTAACGTCTCCATTGTGAGATTTGTTGTTACTGTGTTTGGCATATTGAATACGTCACGGGTAGCTTGCCAGGCTTTGCTGTGCGGCCGGATACTCTTGGTAGCTCAATGAACACTTATTTTTACTAAAATAAATAATAAAATGGTGAATGAACGAGTACATTCAAATGAGTACAACCAAATGGATATAAGACATGCCTATTCTTTGCATTCCCACCTTTCTAATGACTTGAATTCCATTTGTGACAGGAAAATAAGCCATTTACAGCTCTTTCTGTTGTTTTCCCTGTGGAATATCACCTGTATTTTTGCTCTTTCCTTGAGGTCAAACAGGTATGTGGTTTCCTAAATTGCCATGGCTTTGAGAGCAGAGTTCCAAATCCAGGGAGTTATCTTGAGCTTTTAGAACAAGAATTCCAACTTTTTATATGCTTACATACTTTCCTTCTCTCCCTCTTTGTTTACATCACTTAACAGTAAAGGCATTTATTGAAGCCTACCAATAGTTTTTACATTAGAGTAGAACATATTTGTGTAAACTCTCAGTTGTGGTGTGGGGCTGAAATGAAATGTATTTAAAGAACATGTCCTGCAAATATGTGACTATATAGGACCATTATTAAAATAACTTTCCAGCAATACATTCTTTATTAATTTTCCTCATGCAATCTAAGCGTTCTTAGTAATGTGTGCTACATTTTTTTTTATTTTGTTATTTTCGTTAAGTGGGTTCATACCCATTTTCTGCAAAAGAAAATCAAGTTAGTCGCCTAAAAATCTCACCATTTCCTACCAGAAGAATTTGGAAACTTCTGTTTCCATTCAAAGTAAACTTGAACTCAGTAATTCCTGAGTGTAAAGCCAGGAGTAATCCCTGAGCATTGCCATGTATGACTCCCAAAGCCAAAACATTTAAAAATAAATACATAAATCCGACTAAAGAATAATTAAAGCGAGCACAAATAATAAAAACACTGGTAGTCAGGCCACATCTTTCAGTGGAATTTCAGACTCTACAATGTCTATATTTTATCTTATTAAAAGTTTCTTGATTTTTTCTCTTCCACAGGTCCAGGATTTTCTGCCTACAAACATCCTTTCCTATTGATGCTCCTAACCATAACCTCCGCCCTCTCTCCGTTCCAGTTGGACAGAAGGATGCTTCAACTTATTGCCTACACCTTATCATTTATGACCCAAGCAAGGAAATCGAAACCACAGTGTTCGGGCAAAGGAAAAGGAAACCGAAACTTAATGCCTAAGTGGATAAAAGCGCCAGGTGAGGCTTTTCCCAGGCCGGCAGTCCTGGTCACTCGCTGAAACCTCCTTGCTCACTGGGCTGGAATTCGGCCGCTCCCTCCCCGCGGGCTTCGCTAAGCAGTGGCTCCTGGATCAGCAGGTCTGGGGGCGGGGGTCTCTGGTGGAGGGGCTGGAGGGGCCGGCTGCTGCGCTGGTCACTAGGGCAGGGCCTGGAGCTGAGCTCTGCTGGTTTCTCTCTGTCTGGCCGTCTGGGGCTGTAGCTGGGGCGATGGAGCTGGGGAATCAATCCCCCCAGTGTCGGGAGTCTTTGCAGAAGGCAGGGCGCGGCTGCAGCCCCGGAAAGGGAGCTGGAGGAAGAGCCGGGAGGTCTGAGATCTGCAAGGTCCTTTTCAGTGAAAGGGTTCAGGGCGCCTGGGGAATGCGGAGAAAATAAGGAACCAGCGTGTAAAACCTAGATCCTTGAAAGCAAAACAGTAATTCGAGCGTTGCTACAGATTTGCAGAATCAGAATCTGCAGGTGTTTGTCGCGCACCCTTAGGTTTCAATGACAAAGCAGTCACTGTCCTCCCGTTGTTCATCGATTTGCTCAAGCGGGCCCAGTAATGTCTCTATCGTGACAATTGTTACTGTGTTTGGCAGAACGAATGCATCACAGGCAGCTTTCCAGGCTTTGGGTGCAGGGGTCTCCGATAGGGGTGGAGGAATCAAACTCGGGTTAGCCATTTTGGCAGCTTGCAAGGTAAACGCCCTACCCGGTGTGTTATCGCTGCAGCCCGACAACGCAGTAAGAATTGGATTTGTGTTATTTGAGTTTTATGTTATGAATGTATTTTGATCGCTTACTGCCTTTTTAAAAAGGCTACAGTAGTGATAGTTTTTTTTTTTTTTCCATTTTGTTTTTGAGACTGGCTGTGCTCAGAGGCTGCTCCTAACCTCTGTATCTGGAGTCTCTCAGGGTGTTCAGGGTATTGGGGTTGGGGAGCAGGGTGTGACTGGGTTGAAATATATCAGTTCTTTGACCCTCTAGTGATAAATTAAGTGATAAGATATTACTTACAGGTTAAAGAGAAGATATTCCTGGTCCAGGGGCGTCACTAAATTCCTATTGTTGTATAAAAGAAGCTCAGTAAATGAAGGCAATAAACGTCATTATTCTAGTTTCCATGAATTATTTAATCAGACACAAGGTCACCAACATAAGCAGCATCGCACTGGGCTGGAGTGAAGGTGTCCACTGGGGCTGGCTCCATCTGAGCTGTGGGTGGCTCATTTATATTGTTGCAAAAATTCCTTGCAGTTATTGGCCTTGCTGGAGGGTTACTTTGAACCTCTGGATTCCACTTTAAGGTTTCTCATATTACAACGTGGTGCTTTGTGGCTCAAAAGCACCAGGTGCATGATTTCCTTATGCAGTGATAGTGGAGAGGGGGAATTTCCCTTAATCCTCTAGGTGCTTCTGGTTCTGGTGAATTAATGAAATTGACATCAGATTAATAGAAGATAAATTGAGCTACATACATGCATGTCCCAGAGGCATTGAGCAAAATGGGGTCTAGATCCTAGCTAAGGAATGGGATAAGGGCCTGGGCCTTTGAGAAAAGGAGAGGAACATATTCAATGAAGAGTAAGCGCTCTGAAACGGGATCTTTGCCTTGCTATATAGAAAGCTTTTTCTGAAAGCAAAGTTTTCTGGTCAAAACCATGCTTCTGGTCAAGACCCCAAATTGTCATTTTCCTAGGTAAAAGGGAATAGTAACAGTTTCTCATGAGCTAAGCTACATGTTCATGTTATGTTACAATGAAGATTAAATTGTGAGTTAATTGTGGTAGAGGTCATCTCATCCCATTAACTTCACAGGTCCATGGCCATGAGGATGAGCATGGACGTCTGTGAGGCTATTTTATAATTTTGCCTGCCATTGGTCAGTTGCTCTTGGACATTGTTCCAAGAATTCAACTCCTTTCATCAGTGTCTCTGTAATTCCCTTAGACCATGATGTTCACTGCATTTGGGGTGATTCTCCTTCAAAAACCTGTGATATCTGCTATCCCCCTTATTATCTGTGTCTTCCTTTATTTTCTTTCTTTACTTTTTAAGTTTGCTAAACGCAGAATCTAAGGATCAGAATCTAAAATCAGAATATAAGGTTCTGACATGCTATGACTGAATGCTATATCTTTGAGTTTATTGGTTTGTTCATACTCTTTTATTTGGTAAGGTAACATGTTTGACTTTGTTTTATAGAAATTATGCTATTCCTGCTGATATTATTTATTCTCTGTTTTTCTAAATATCTTGTAGATTAGGTGCTACTACTTGGATTTTAATCAAATTCAGGTTCAAAATTTTTATAGGGGAAGCAGTAGGTGGCATATTCGAACAATGGTGCAGTTGTCCTATTTGGAACCCAAAATTCACCATTACATTTTCTTCTCTGTTTATTAGCAGATTATATCCAGCTAGTAGAAATGAAGTTTCTCTATTTTACCTTTTGTGAAAGATGAAATTAACACTCACTTTTTTTTTACTTTTATGAAAAATTCATAGGAAATTTTGGATACTGGAGAAACCTGAATTAATAAGAAAAATTGGAATCGTTTCTGAATTCCAGAATTCCTTATTTTTTTACATTATCTTATGATTCCTTCTTTTTAATGTCTTGTCCTGCTATGAAAAATAAATTTAGTATGTGCTGACCTTCCCCCCCATTCTTTCCTTTCTGAACCAGCTGTTTTATATTGTCAGGTTTTATAGTAACTTAAGTGTTCTACAATTTCAATTATTGATTCAATTCTACATTGTGTCAAAACATAAACAGAAATTACAGAATTACACATTGTATCATCAGTGCTTTTGCCTTTAGCTACCCACATGGGATGATAGACTTCATTTCTTCATAGTAAATCTCTTTTATCTCTTTATTATTGGAGTGATGTAGTTTCAGCAAGAGTGTCTGAGTTCTTTTACTCTTTTTTTGTTTTGTTTTGTTTTCGGGTCACAGCTGGTGGCTTTCAAGGCTTTCTTCTTACTCTGTGCTTGGGATCATTTTTGGAGGATTACACAGGGTGCTGGGGATAGGATGTAGGTCAAGGCAAGTGCCCAGTATCTCTCCAGCCCCGAGAGTGTTTGAGTACTGTGTGGTGTTTTCTTTTGTCATCATTTATGCTGAGAACTTTGGAAAATGTCTGGTCTATATGTCTTGTCTTTTTTGTTTTGTTTTGTTTTGTTTTGGGGGCCACACATGGTGATGTTCAGGGCTTATTTCTGGTGGGGTTCTGAGGACCATACAGGATGTTGTGTATTGAACCCCAGGTAGGGGTCCTAAATGTGTTTGTCTTTAGCTCTGGTCTATTAGATTATTTTATTCTTAAAAAAATTATATTACCTTGGGGCCAGAGCAATAGTACAGCATAGGACCTTTGCCTTGCATGTGGCTGACCTGGGTTCAGTTCCTGGCATCCTATACTCCATATGGTTCCTTGAGAACAACCAGGAGTGATCCCTGAGCACTACTGAGTGTGGCTCCAAAAAACCAAAAGAAAAAAATTATATTTAAATATATTTGATATTTTTATTACTACCCCATTTTGATGTATTAATGCTCTCCTACTAATCTAGATGATTTACAACTTTTAACTCTAACTTTTGTATTTGTTACATTATTTTTCCACTTTATATCCCTTTATGTTTTTTCTTGCCCTTTAAGAAATTTCCTGAATTTAAACCCTTTACTAGCATTAAATATTAACGTGCATATTTTATTTTTTGTGCATGATGTTTTCCCCTGAAATGACATTTAAATTTTTCTAGGTATTTGAGTTTTTCCTCCTATTAGTGATGTGCTATTATTTCATTAAACAATATTGATGTAATTTTTGAGAATTTTTATTAGAGTTTCTGAAAGGTCTATATTCTGTTACTAAATTATATTTTTTTCTTGGAATTTCTTATGTTTTTTTTTGTTTTATTACTTAAACACCATGAGGTACAGTTGTAGACTTACAAGTTGTTGTGCTTGGGTTTCAGTTATGCAATGATCGAGTACCCATCCCACCACCAGTGCCCATTCTCCACCCCCACCAATCCCAGTATCCCTCCCACCCCCCCATCCCCCATCCCACCCTGCCTCTGTGTCAGGGCACTACCTTTTGTTCTGTCTCCCCCGTTGGGTGCTGCTGCAGAAGAGACATTGGTTGGCAATCATGTTCGGTCCATAGATTACTTTCAGCAGGCATCTCCATCCTGGGCAGATCTTCCCAGCACCCTTTATTTGGTGCTCCCTTTTCTATCTGAGCTGCCTTTACCCCTGGAGTGTGCAACTGGCCTCTAAGCCATGGAGTGAACAACCTGGTATTTATCACAGCTGTTCTCGGGTGTTAGTCTCTTATTTTGTTACTTTATGTTACCCAGATGAATGCAATCTTTCTATGTCTGTCCCTCTCTTTTCTCTTTTGACTCATTTTGCTTAGAATAATATTTTCTATGTAGAACGACTTGTATGTAAATTTCATGACTTCATTTTTTCTAACTGCTACATAGTACTCCATTGTGTAGATGTACCAAAGTTCTTTTTTTTTCCCCTTTATTTTATTTTATTTTTTTTAAGTTGTAGATTTACAATTTTTTGTGCTTTGGTTTCAATCATACAATGATCAGATACCCATCCCTCCACCAGTGCCCATCTTCCACCACCATGGATAATATCCCTCCCACCCCCATCCCCCCATCCCCCCTGTCTCTGTGGCAGGGCAATCCCCTGTGTTCTCTCTCTCCGTTTGGGTGTTGTGGTCTGCAAAAGAGGCATTGAGTGGCAAACATGTTCAATCCATAGTCTACTTTCGACATGCATCTCCCCTCCTGGGAGGATCCTCCAAACATCCTTTATTTGGTGCTCCCTTCTCTATCTGAACTGCCCTTTCCTCTAGGATACCCGGCTGGCCTCTAAGTTATGGAGTAATCCTCCTGGTGCTGATCTCAGCTATTCTTGGGTATTAATCTCATACTTTGTTACTTTATATCCCCCAGATGAATGCAATCTTTCTATGTCTATCCCTCTCTTTCTGACTCATTTCGCTTAGCATGATACTTTCCATATTGTACCACTTGTATGTAAATTTCATGACTTCATCTTTTCTAACAGCTACATAGTACTCCATTGTGTAGATGTACCAAAGTTTCTTTAACCAGTCATCTGTTCTCGGGCACTCAGGTTATTTCCATATTCTAGCTATTGTAAACAGTGCTGCAATGAACAAACAAATGCAGATGTCACTTCGACTACACTTTTTGGCCTCTCCGGGGTATATTCCCAGGAGTGGTATTGCTGGGTCAAATGGGAGCTCAATTTCTAATTTTTTGAGAGTCGTCCATACAGTTTTCCAAAAGGGTTGAACCAGTTGGCATTCCCACCAGCAGTGAAGGAGGGTCCCTTTCTCGCCACATCTGTGCCAACACAGGTTGCTTTTGTTCTTTTGAATGTGGGCCAGTCTCTGTGGTGTGAAATGATCCTCCTCTCCAGGTAGGTAGGGGGAGCCCAAGCCGGGAACCGCTCCTCCCACCCAGCCGTGCGCCTCTTCCCGCCGAACCCCAGTGGGGAGACTCCTGCGGCAGGTCCAGCTCTGTGGGACTGTCCACCACCCCTCCTCCATTCCAGGATCCTGGATGGGAGTGACCTGGGACAGGCTAGGGGCGTGGCCACTACAAAGGGGGCGTGCCCCCAAGTGGGCGTGGCCTTCTCCTGGGCTGCTGTTATATCTCCCACTCTGAGCACTCAGGATTTTTATCCCAAAACTTGTCGCCTAATACCGACCAAAAATTTCTTACCACTTCTACTACAATACAACATGAAGAAACAGCGCAAATCTCCACCACAAGGAGGATACGAAGAAAAGAATCCCGAATCCTCAAGGTTCTCCACAAGTATGCTCTCTTCGATAAAGAACTCCAGGATGAAATGCAGAGGTTGTTCAAGGATCTACTCAAAGAATCAATGCAAGAGATATCCAGAAAACTAAAAGAAGAAATGAAAGAAACAATAGAACAGATAGTCGAGAAAATACAGGAAGAAATGAGAGCAGAAATAAAAAAGCTACAAAAAAGTCTCACAAATAAAGTATTCAGTAGATGAAATTAAAAAGTCAGTAAGTGCCCTTAGCAATAGGATAAGTGCAGCTAATGAGAGGATCAGCGAGCTTGAAGATGAGCAACAGAAATCCCATAGGGAACAACAAATGATAGGAAAAGACCTCGTTGCCCCACTTTTTGATGGGGTTGGATGTTTTCTTCTTGTGGAGTTCAACCAGTGCTTTGTATATCCTTGATATCAACCCCTTGTCGGATGTGTAATGAATTTCTTATTTTTTATTGTCTCCCACCCACAACTGCTGAGGGATTTTAATTGCTATATATCTTTTATATATAAACTAACTATATATAGTATATTATTTCTTATGGGCTGGAGCGATAGCACAGCGGTAGGGCATTTGCCTTGCACGCAGCCAACATGGCCGATCCGAGTTCGATTCTTCCACCCCTCTCGGAGAGCCTGGCAAGCTACCGAGAGTATCTCTCCCGCACGGCAGAGCCTGGCAAACTACCTGTGATGTATTCAATATGCCAAACACAGTAACAACAAAGTCTCCAGTGGAGACGTTACTGGGCCCACTCGAGCAAATCGATGAACAACGGGAGGACAGTGCTACCTATATATACTCTTTTATATGTTTACATAAAATATGTATGTAATAACATTGATGGCATACATTTAATGATATTAGTCACCCACAAAACTTAATATTAAGACTTTTCTCTTCCACAATATTGTCTCTTTCTGTCCAAGTAAATTTGTCTACACTTAGAACTTCACTTACCATACATAATATGGAAACTTTCATATAATCTAGCCCTAACCCAGACTTTGTGTTTGACTTCTTGACCTGTATATTTAGTACTTATGTCACATACCCTATGGTAAAATCAGAAAGCAAGTCAAACTCAGGTTGAGTGCAAGGGAACCCATCCCATTTTTTTTATTCTCTGAAATATGGCCTTGTTCTTAGCTTTCGAGCACAGGGAATGGCCTAGTCATGTACCAAATCCTATTGTATTATGTAGTGTCTGATCTTCCCTTTTCTCTGTCTGCTTCTGATCCATTACCAAGTTGTATCATACTCATTTCCTTAATGTACTTAAAATAAAATTCACATCTCTCTAGTTTTGTTGGCTCAAACTATCATTAAAGTATATTTCATTGAATTTCTATCATTGTTCTTCTGAACACTAGTTTTCTTTTTACTAACCAGAACTTTCCTCCTAGTCTATACTCTCTATGATGATCTTGCAAAATGCAAAGTCAGCAAGAATACGGTTTTCCAAATGGACTTTAGGATGAAGAGAGTGTTATGTAACATGCTCCCCATCCCCCAATACACTCTGTATGCTTTTATAATTCTTACTAAACAACTAGTTTTCTAGCCCAGTTGACTTCTTTTCATGATCTCATTCTTTCAATTCTGGTATTTCTTTTTCTGCCTAAATTACTACATCCTATCTTTGATCTTGGTTAATTAAATCCTTCTTAGTTTTTTAAACTCATCTTAAGCATTATTTCTTTAGGAAAATTTTCTCTGACCTCTTGGAATTAGTCACATTTACAATTTCCCATTATTTACATTATTATATGACTATTATTTGTCTTTCCAAATAGATTTTCAAATTTCACATGAACAGAAAAAAATTGACTTCTGTTTAGTCTTATATTTTGATTAGCATAACATAATATTTCATCTATTTTTAGCATGAAGTAATCATTTAATATCTTTTGTTGATGGAATAAATTAATTTTTTTTATTTATAGTGTTGACATTTTCATTAAAGGTACTAAAACAAAGGATTTTGGCTATACTCAATATACTCTAGATCAAGATGAATAAACAGGCAACAAGAAGTAAAGGTGAGTTTACATTTAAAGAAGTTATAGCTTATAAGGAGGCTGGAGAGATAGTACAGCAGGTAGGGCATTTACCTTGCATGAGGTCAACCTGGATTCATTTCCCAGCATCCCAGTGCTCCAAACTTGCCAGGAGTGATTCCTGAGTGCAGAGCTAGGAATAACCCCTGAGTACTGCCTGGTGTGGACCCAAACAAACAAAGACATTATAGCTTATGAAATTATTATGTAAACTACATGTTTAATGGTTTAAAATAATTAGTAATATTATTTAAAAATAATAATAAAAATAGTAATATTTAAAAAAATAATAAAAATAGTAATATTTTTTTCTTAAATAATAAGGAAATGATAGCTCTTTGGGAAAGGACTGAAAATAATGAATTCTCATTCTCTTTGTTTTAGAATACATGATAGTTTTTAAGGAAATAGAAAATTTAATTTTGAATCAGATGCCAAGAGCCGAGTGAGTATTATCATAGCAATATATAAAAAATGTAAAATTCTGTACCAAATTCTTTTTATGTCTCTTTGGGCTTTAAATGATGTTTTAGAATATATACTAAAGTATAACAAATACAATATATAATATCTAGAGTATATCTATGTGTCTCTGACTATATTAGTATATGTATATGGTATAGTACATTTATATTCATACATTTAAATTTTTCAATATATAGTATAGATAGATTTGTTTCTTAAATATATAATTGTTCAACACAACATTTAGAGCTTTTTGGTGCTAATTGTTAGTAGTTTTTACTTGTCCACAACTGTCCATTACATTGTTTTATAAAGTATTGATTAAGAATGATAGAAGCGTATATTTGGAACATGGATGTTAAACTCTTCAGCACAATTCAGATCCTACCATATGACTTTAGAGAATTTACTTTGCCTGCTAGGTCTGTTTCTATAGAATGGGAATAATCCTGCCCTCTTCTGTGAAGAATTTTCCTTCATATGGGTATATTAAGAGTCTCAGCATAAAGTTGACATAAACTACTCACTAAGCAAATTCAGCTATTAGTCATGATGAGATAATAACAATGCAACTGTCTTCTTTTGAGATTTATTTAATCTGTACACATTTTGTTTTATTTGCTTTTATTTTAGATATACAAGTTTATTCAATGATTTTATTGAATCTGAATTTTTTCTGATTGATGGAGATTCATTACTTATCACATGTGTATGTGATATATCACTAAAGCCAGGGCAGACCCTCCACTTCTTCTATCTGGTTGAACATTATCTTGCAGATCTTATTGGTAAAGGAGGGCAATTTGCCATAGTTTTCTTCAAGGTAACAGTTTTTTGGTTGATTTATTTTCTAGGACTTTAGAAATAATTATAGAAATTCTTATTTATAGCTTTTATTCCAAATTTAAATTTGCAATACTTAGGAAATGAATAAATTTTATGCTATGCATTATCTAGCTACAAAGTGGCTATTTAAAAATAATATCTTAAAATACTTCTCTCACCTCTTTAGGAGGCTGAATATGCCTATTTGAAGTTTCCTGAACTTCTTTCTTTGAGAACTGCTTTAATTCTTCATCTGGAATGTAATACTACCCTTGATGTTCAAACTAACATTTCTGGATGCTTATCACGAGAGTGGACAACTTACTTGGGTGATCGTGACCCATATTTTGTCATAGTTGCAGATCAAGGCATAAACAATGAACAAACAAATCTTTTCAACTTTTTAATCATTCAGTCTTGGATAATGAACATCAATGCTGTACTTTCATCCGGACAAGAATCAAATGTTCTTAGACTTTATGCATATTTTATGCCAAGTAATTTGTTTGCTCGCAAGTTTTATTATGAAGTAAGTTATACCTAAAGGAAAAGTTTTTTCAAGATTCTAGTTTTTTAAATTATTTGACTTAATTTCATTTCTATGTTTGGAATAAAAATTGTCATAAATGTAACAGATGCATGTACAATTATATTAATAGTAGATGCTTAATTATATTAATAGTAGGTGCTTAAAATACAGTATTTATTGAGGACTTATAAAGAGCAGTGCTTTATCCTTCTTAAAAATAATTTTATTTGTTCACAAACTCAAAATGAAGATATTGGTTCATCTGTGTTTTGCAGGTAAGCAGATAAATATTTGATTGAAAAACTTCTTATTATTCACACTAAGTGAACAATAAGACATGGCTTTAAAAAGCAGTCTGACTTTAGCACTACATGCTTACTATACTCTCTCCAAGTTATGACTGTCAGAAAAGCATAGAGATGGAGGCAAAAACTGTACTTCTGTCACTGGTTTACATTAGTGAAATAATAGTTAATATGGTGACTTTTTATGAGAAAGTAATGGAAAAGATTGATGACATAGGTTTATTTTTGAATATTAAATGTTAGTAGAAGTTTAAAAGTATTTAGAATTTAATTGTCATGATCTTATTAATTTTTTTTGGAAATATTTGACAATTACCATATTGTTTTCAGAAGTAAAAGTTTACTTTTTATATGAATACGTTGTTTTTAATTCTCATTACTTTTAGTGAATTCTGTGTTTTTTTAAAACAATTTTTGGATTGATTAATGTTTTTTATTTTTTAAAGTTTATTTTATTTAAAAATAAAAGAAATTCAGTGTAGCAACTTGTTACCTTCTTATGAGTCATTTATTTTTCTTTTTAAAAACACCCCTTTGGGTTTTTATCCCACTTATCTGCTATCATTTAAACCAGTGTGACAATAAAGTTGGAATTGATTAATATATTTTTATTCTTTGAGAATAGTGTCACATCCCACTTGATATTTGGGGACATCCAGATGGTTGTCATGAAATTTGAGAAGATGGTTTATTTTGTTTTAGTGAATACTTAAGTCATTAAACTATTTTAAACGCAGGCTGCTTACTGATTTCTCTTTTACAGAATCGAAAGAAGATTACAGGTGCTTATAAAACCCTGATCAAGAAATTACAATCTTTTAGAGATTTAACATCACAGTCTGTTTTTAAAAGTTTTAAATGGGAAGATATGATGAATGAGGTACTGAATTTATTAAAAATACCTTTTATTTAAATTGAATAAATTGTTTCATTATTTAAAAGATAGCAGAAATTCATCAGTTTTCATTTGCCTTTCACATATAGGTATATCTTACACTTCTCTATACAGCAGTTATTTTCTTGTTAGTGTACCTATATACGTACACATATATTATGATATCTAGAATAAATGCTCAATTTTTATTTTCTTATGTCTTTTCTTGTTGTTTGTTTTTGGCCCAGACCCTGTTGTGTTCAGGGGTTACTCCTGACTCTGTGCTTAGGTGGAGGGCATCAAGCACTCTGCTGGTGGGTGTGGTGTTGGAGCAATGTATGCAGGGAGCTACAGTGTTTTCTTTAGAGTTTTTATATCATTATGCCATAAATGATACTTTTCTCTCCTTGTCTTTGAATGGGTTGCATGGGCTCGATTAGGGATTCGTGTTCATATCTCAGTGGGATGGAGCATATGCTTGGGGTTGGGAGTTTGATTTTCCATGTATCTCCCATCCACTCGGTATGGGTGGCCACAGCTACTGCTGGCCCTAGCAGCCCTCCAGTCTCTCAATCACCTGACCATCAGATCTGCAAAGTCAAGTATCTCCAGGAGTGACCCTATAACCCTCCCACAAGTATGACTGGTGAGATATTCCCAACAAGATTAAAATGCTTTTCTCCTTTTTAATTGGTATGAGATGATTTATAGATCATTTAGGTGACTTGGTCTTAAAGATTTGATAGAATTTCCCTTGAAGCCATTTGGGCATTGTGTTGTCCTATTTTGGGGTATGTGTGTGTGGAGGGAGATAGTTTCTTAATAATTTTCTCTTTCTTCTATGGAACTTTATTTCTTTAAGCTCAGTGCCACTAGCAGAGCAATTTAACTAAATTACTCTTATAAGGAAATTGTTTAATTTATAATTTAGGTTTTTTATTGTCTTTCTTTTCTGTTCTTCCTTTTTGTGTGGGGGGGATGCAGTTATACCCAGTGGTATTCAGGGCTTACTGCTGGCTCTGTGCTCAAGGATTTCTGCTGGCTGACCTCAGAGGATCATTTGGAATGCTGGGGATTGAACTGGGTTGGCCGCCTGCCAGACAAGTGACCTACCCATTGTATTATCATTCAGGCCTTTCAGGTTTATTTTCATAGTAGTTTGCAGAATAAGTTTTCATGATTTACATATTTTTTGTTTTTATGGTTACTTTATCCATAATTTTTACTTTGTATACATTTATTTTTCCCATTTTATTGTATCAAACAAGTGTCTTTCTGTTAAATTTCCCAAAACTTTACAATTTTGATTTAGTAGATCAATTATATTTTTTAATATATACTTTTAAAATTATTTTTCTTGCCTTCGATTTCTTCTAGTAGATGTTGTAGTCCTTTTTAATTAATTATTGTTTTGGTTTTGCGGCCATGCCTGGTGGTGCTCAGGCCTTACTCCTGGCTCTATGCTTAGGGATCACCCCTGGCCAGGCTTGGGCGAACATATGGGATGCCAGGGATTGAATCCGGGTTAGAAATATGCAGAGCAAGCATCTCACCCACTGTCCTTTCTCTCTGCTCCACCTTTTTAATTTTATTTATTAAAAAATTTAATTTAATTTTAGGTATTAGGACTCACAATAGTGTTAATAGTATTAATGATTCAAAATAGTATTAATTACTAGTGTTAATTCACAGTAGTGTTAATGATAGAATTTTTTTTTGGCCACACTTGGTTATGCCCAGGGGTTACTTCTAGCTCTATGCATAGGAGTTACTTCTGGTGGTGCTCAGGGACCATATACCATGCCAGAATCCAACCCAGGCTGGCTGTGTGCAAGTCAAGTACATTACACATTGTATTATCTCTTCAGCCTTTAATGATAGAGTTTCATAGATACAGTGTTCTAACACCATATCTTTCACCAGTGTTCCCCCCACCCCACTTCCCCAACAACCTGCCTGCCACCAGGATAAGCTCAGTTCTGTAGTCATTTGCTATTCCCTTACTGTGTTTCCTTATATCCTACATATGAAAAAGGGTTTCATGTATCTGTTCCTCTCCCTCTTTTCTTAGCATCATACCCTCCAGATCCATCCACTTAGAAGCAGTCTGTCAAATTGATTGATTTTGTCATTTATTAAAGTCAAATAGTATTCAATTTGGACATATACCACAGTGAATATAGTCTTGAACACTTGGATTTCCAGATTTAGGCTATTTTGAGTAGTGCTACAATGAACATAGGAGCTCAGTTGCCTTTTCTGAATAGAGTTTTTGGATCCTTAAGTTAGAAGGCAAGAGGTAGAATTGTTGGGACATATGGAAGCTCCAATTTTCTGAGACATGTCATATTATTTTTCAAAATGGTCTAGTCAGCTGACATTTCCATCAAGGCTAGATGAAAATGTTGCTGTTACCCACATACATGACAACGCTTGCTTTATTTCTTTCTTATGTATGTTAGTTTCAAATGATATCTTTTTTTTAATTTTTCTTTTTGGGTAATACCTGGCGATGCACAAGGGTTACTCCTGGCTCTGCACTCAGGAGTTACTTCTGGCGGTGCTCAGGGGACCATATGGGATGCTGGGAATTGAACCCGGGTCGGCTGTGTGCAAGGCAAATGCCCTACCCACTGTACTATCTCTCCAGCCCCTCAAATGATATCTTGTTTTAATTTTTGTTTCCCAATGATAAGAGATTCAGAGCATTTTTATATACTTATTAGTCATTTCAGTAAATGTCAATAAGAGAAGTATAATATCTGTATTTCAGTATGTCATAGTTTTCTTATTTCTCTGAATAACTTATTTCATAATTATGTCATAATTACTCATTATACAGGGCAGCATTTATACAGGACAGCCATCATACAGTGAGATGTATATACTTCTAGAGCTATAAAGATTTAACCCTAGAATATTATAAACCAGTATATCACACTTTAAAAAATATCTCCTTTTGTTCTGTTTACATAATTTTCTATATAATTGTGCACAATTGAAATGCTAGCATATCTACTCTTTATTCACCGATAAATATTATTATATGATATGGTATTATAACTAAATTATACTTTGCTAAGTTGAAAGTAGAAAATATGTTGTCTAGTTTTTCTTTCCTATCACTAAAATGCTTGAACATATTTTCTATTTTGTTTATATACACACACATTCCTTTCAGTTACACTTTGTCAAATAATTAGGTTTTTTCTTATTGAGCTAAAGTTCTTCATTTTATTTGTTTACTTATTTATGATTTTTGGGCCACAACTGGTGGTATGCAGGAGTTATTCCTTGCTCTGCACTCAGAAATCACTTCTGGCAGGCTCAGTGAACATGTAGGTTCCTGTTTGGTCACATGCAAGGCAAGCGCCCTACCCACTGTACTATCACTCCATTTTCAAGAGTTGTTCATGTATTTTAATTTTAATAGTTAGATTGAGTAGTTGTCATATTTCTAATAAATTTATAATTTTTCATCATTTTAAATAAACATATTTATAATTTTATAGTCATAGCTATTTATCATTTCTATGTTTTTACTAAGATTACTTGTGAATGAAAATATATTTTAAATAAAGTGAAAATTTGCTATTTCTTTCTATGATAGGCATATGGAACTATTTCTCTGCTGACGGAACTTTGGCCAGAAGGATCTGACATTCGGCGGGTCCTTTGTGTCACTGCATGCTCTTTGTCTTTGAAAATGTATCAACACTTTTTAGAATCCAGAAAGAAGACTCCTCCTGATCACAAAACTGAGAAAAAGGTGAGACTGTTATTATCTAACTGAAAGGACATCTTTGTTCTACATTTAAGAGAGCTTTTGTGTTTCATTTGCCATTTGCTCACTGTGATTTTTTTATTTTTTTATTGGATTGACACCAAATACATGCACTTTAACAAATATGCCGTATTTATGAATGTAAATATTTTTAGAATGTATAATATGTTGTATTTTTACTTTAATTTATTTTTTAAATTTTTACTAGTGAAACACCATGAGGTACAGTTATGGATTACAAGTTTTTGCGCTTGGATTTCAGTTACACAATGATCGAGTACCTATCCCTCCACCAGTGCCCATTCTCCACCACCAATGATCCCAGTATCCCTCTTCCCCCATCCCTCCATCTCACCTCGCCGCTGTGGCAGGGCATTCCCATTTGTTCTCTCTCTCCTTTTGGGTGCTGTGGTTTGCAAAAGAGGCATTGAGTGGCAATTATGTTCGGTCTATAGTCTACTTTCAGCATGCATCTCCGATCCTTGGAAGATCCTCCCAACACCCTTTATTTGATGCTCCCTTCTCTATCTGAGTTGCCTTTTCCTCTAGCATGTGCAGCTGGCCTCCAAGCCATGGAGTGAACCTCATGGTACTTATATTGGCTATTCTTGGGTGTTAGTCTCCTATTTTGTTACTTTATATTCCCCAGATGAATGCAATCTTTCTTTTTTTTTGTTTTTTGTTTTTTGTCCTTAAATTTTTTTCTTTTTTATTAGTGAATGCAATCTTTCTATGCCCGATGCCCATCTCTCTCTTTTTGACTCATTTCACTTAGCATGATACTTTCCATGTAGTGCCACTTGTATGTAAATTTAATGACTTCATCTTTTCTTTTCTAACAGCTACATAGTATTTCATTGTGTAGATGTACTAAAGTTTCTGTAACCAGTCGTCTGTTCTCGGGCACTCAAGGTTTTTCCAGATTTTGGCTATTGTGAATAGAGCAGCAATGAACATGGAAGTGCAGATGTCATTTTGACTGTAATTTTTTGCCTCTCCAGGGTATATTCCCAGGAGTGGTAATGCTGGGTCAAATGGGAGCTCAATTTCTAATTTTTTGAGAATCGTCCATACTGTTTTCCAAAGGGCTGAACCAGTCGATATTCCCACCAGCAGTGAAGGAGGGTCCCTTTATTGCCACATCCGCACCAACATCGGTTGCTTTTGGTCTTTTTGATGTGGGCCAGTCTCTGTGGTGTGAGATGACATCTCGTTGTTTTGATCTGAATTTCCCTGATGATTAGTGGTGTAGAGCATTTTCTCATGTGCCTTTTTGCCATTCGGATTTCTTCTTTTAGAAAGTTTCTGTTCATTCAGCGCCCAATTTTTTGATGGTGTTGGATGTTTCCTTCTTGTGGAATTCAAGCAGTACTTTGTAAATCCTTGATATCAACCCCTTGTTGGATGGGTATTGGGCAAATATCCTTTCCCATTCTGTAGACTGTCTTTGTATTTTGGTCACTGTTTCTTTGTCTTCAATATACCTTATGGATTCCGGTCTGATGTTGAGGTCTTTAACCCATTTTGATCTTACTTTTGTACTTGGTGTTAGGGACAGATCTGAGCCCACTTTATTGCATGTAGCTGTCCAGTTTTGCCAGCACAATTTGGTAAAGAGGCTTTCCTTGCTCCTCTTCACATTTCTTGCTCCCTTATCCAAGATTAGATGATCATATGCTTGGGGGAGATGTCGGTATATTCGACCCTGTTCCGTTGGTCTGCAGTACTCCCTTTGTTCCAATACCATGCTGTTTTAATTATTACTGCTTTGTAGTAGAGTTTGAAGTTAAGGAGGTTGATTCCTCCCATTTTCTTTTTCCCAATAATTGCTTTAGCTATTCGTGGTGGCTTATTGTTCCATATAAATTTCAGGACTGTTTGCTCCATTTCTTTGAAGAATGTCATGGGTATCATAATCGGGATTGCATTGAATTTGTACAGTGTTTTGAGAGGTATTGCCATTATGACAATGTTAATTGGTCCGATCCATGAACAGGGGATATTTTTCCATTTTCTTGTGTCCTCTTTTATTTCCTGAAGTAGCATTTTGTAGTTTTCTTTGTACAGGTCCTTTACTTCCTTAGTTAAGCTGATTCCTAGGTATTTGATTTTCTGGGGCACAATTGTGAACGGGATTGTTTTCTTCATGTCACTTTCTTCTCTTTCACTATTTGCATATAGGAAAGCCATGGACTTTTGGGTATTGATTTTATAGCCTGCACTTTACTATACAAGTCTATTTTTTCTAGGAGTTTCTTGGTTTCTAGGAGAGGTTTTAGCACCCCAGCTTTTTTGAGGGAGCTGTTTGCTTGTAGGATTGTTTTCCATCCTTTAACTTTGAGTCTGTGTTTGCTCTGACTGTTGAGATGAGTTTCTTGTAGGCACCAGAATGTTGGGTTCTGTCTCTGAATCCATTTTGTCATTCTGTGTCTCTTAATTGGTGAATTTAGACCATTGGCATTGAGAAAAATTATTGTCATGAGGTTTTGTGTCATCTTTCTTTAAGAGTTTGTTGTGCTTGTAGAGTTTGTCTTGTCTTATAGTAGTCCCTTTAACCCTTCTTTTAGGTTTGGTTTTGAGTCTATGAAGTTCCTGAGCTGCTGTTTATCTAGAAAATAGTGTATCATTCCCTCGAGTTTGAGTGAGAGGTTAGCTGGATAGAGTATTATTGGTGAAGCGTTTATTTCAGTGAGATTTTTTCATTATAACCCACCATTGTTTTCAGTCTTGGAGGGTTTCATCTGATAGGTCTGCTGTGAATCTAAGGGGTGCTCCTTTGTGTGTGAGTTCCTTCTTTGACCTTGCTGCTTGCACTATTGTGTCTCTCGGCAGCATCAATCATTCTAACTATGATATGTCTTGGAGTGTTTTGTTAGGGTCTCTGTTAGCTGGCATCCTTTGGGCTCCTGAAATCTGAATGGCTGCATTGTCCAGCTCTGGGAACTTTTCAGCAATGATTTGTTTAACAGTGGTATTTTCATTGAGATTGCTTCCCTGACCTTCTGATACTCCACTGATCCTAATGTTGTTCCTCTTGGAATCATCTCCTAGGACTCTGATTTGTTTTAGAACTATTTTGAGGTCCTTTGCCATTGTTTGTTGTTGCCTGTAGGCTTGGTGCAGCTGATCTTCCAGCTCACTGATTCTGTCTTTAGCTGTGGCCATTCTACTGTTGAGAGCACAGACTGAGTTTTTTATTTCATCTATGGAATCTTTGATTTGGGACATTTCTGTGCGTACCTTTCCAATTTCGGCTCTCATTTCTTCCTGTAATTTTTCGATTGTTTCTTTCATGTCCTCCTTCAATTTACTGGATATCTGTCTCACTGTTTCATTGAGTTCATTGAACATCTTTATTACTTCATATCTGATTTACTTCTTAGAGAGGTGCCTTAGGTGAGTAGCAGCTACTGAGGTTTCTGGACTCTTCATTGTCCTCCCCTCGTGGTGGGGATTTGCATTGTTTCTTCATGTTGGTGTGGTGGTATGGAGACTGAGATTTTAGACAATATTTCTGGGAATGGATAAACTACCTGTGATTGCGTGAGCATTGGCCCGCCCAAAATTGGGCCACGCCCTCTTTTATAGAGGCCACACCCCCTATGGGTACTGGTGTCTGTGCGGGATACAAACCAGGGTGGAAAAGGACAGGGCACAGCGTTGGAGCGAAGAAGCTCAGGGATGGGGAGCATCCCAGGGACCTAGAGGATGCCTAGGGTGCGTTCCCAGGGAAAGCCTAGTCCCTGGTTCGAGTCACTGACCTGTGGGTGGAAAAAAACTGAGCACAGCGTTGGGGAAGAACAGGAAGAGGCTCGGGGATAGAGAGCATCCCAGGATCCTAGAGGACACCTGGGGCGCGTTTTCAGGGAAAGCCAAGTCCCAGGTTAGAGTCACTGACTTGGGGGGTGGAAAAAGACCAGGCACAAAGTTGGGGACGAACAGGAAGAGGCTCAGGGATGGAGAGCGTCTCACGGTCCTAGAGGACGCCTGGGGCACGTTCGCAGGGAAAGCCAAGTCCCAGGTTCAAGTCACTGACCTGGGGGTGGAAAAAGACTCTGTGATACTTTAATTATTGAACTTATTTATTTAGGGTAAATTTCCAAAAACTGAAGAAAAATTAGAAGCCTATAGTGCTTTGAGATTTTTATATACCTTTTTTCATTAGGCATTTACAGATTTTTAAAAGTCATTTTAGCCTCCCTTAAGAGGTTAAAAGGAGGTAGTAGAGGAGGAAGACTCAAACTAACTGCCTATTGACAGATGACAGAATAAAGAATTTAAAGAAGTGATGCTACTTGATACTACACTTGAACTTAGCCAAATACTCAGTGTATTACTCTGGCATTGCAAAAGATAAAATGCAAAACCTTTTCTGGGTCAAAAAGATAGTTTTTGAGGTTATTTAAATGAAGTAAGGATGTGAAAGAAACTTACTAGTTATGTAGCACTGTAGCACTGTCCTCCGGTTGTTCATTGCTTTTCTTAAGTGGGCACCACATTTCCATTGTAAGACTTGTTGCTACTGTTTTTGGCATATCAACTACATGACAGGTAGCTTGCCAGGCTTTGCTATGTGTGGGCTGAATACTCTCTCAGTAGCTTGCTGGGGTCTCCAAGAAGGGCCGAAGAATCAAACCCGGCTTGGTCATGTACAAGGCAAATACCCTACCTGTTATGCTATCACTCTAGCCCATTAGTAATGTGGACCATAAATAAACATAAATAAAAGTTATAGACAAAAGTCCACAAAAATTAATTCAAACTCAGTAAAAACTATACTAGACACCAGAAGGAAAAGGTAAGAGGAGGGAAGAATGGATGGAGGGATTTTTTTTGGTGATGGTGGTGGTAAAACTTATATACATCTAGCGCTGTAAAGTTCTAACCCTAGAAATTCTATAATATTATAAACCAGTAATGAATCAATCAGAAAAACTTATTGTTCATCATATTTCAGAAAATTAATTCTGAGATTTAGACAGTCCAACTAATTCTTCTCAAACTTAAGCTATAAAATAATAGTATGGATTGAGTTTAAGTCTTGTTCAAGTTACAAGATACCAAAACTGTGTTATGATAGAATATTTCTGCTGTTTTGTCTTGATGTCAGCCTAGCTAGAGAGATCCTAAATTTCTTAACTTTCTTTATTGCCAAGAGTCCATTAAGAAACTATTGACTAGTATGTGTTTGTTGTCTAGGCATTCTTCAATATATGTGTACATGTGTGTATACACACAAACGTGTATACATGTATGATCTTGTGTACTCTAAGAGGATTGCGAGATTTTTGATTTTAGATATACAATAAACAAAAATGAAATTTATATATCCTACAGTTCAGAAATGGATATGATGGTTAATAATCTTTTACCTAACATATTTATATTTAATTTTCCAAAATCATTTGAAGTTATTTGTAATGAAATACTTCTACATAATTAGTAAGACTTTTGTTTGTGTGTTTGTTTTTTATCACATCTGGCTATTCTCAGGACTTACTCCTGTCTCTGTGATCACGGATCACTCCTGGCAGTTTCAGGGGCTGTATGGAGTGCTGGGTCAGCTGCATGCAGGGCAAAAGTCCTGTCTATTATTCTGGTCCCCAATTAGTTGCCATTTTAAATTGTTATTCATAAATATGTTATTAAACCAAAATTATGTCTTTGGATGCCGTAACTATTGGACTTTATTTTGCCCTCTAGAAGTATTCTGAAAGAAGTATTAGTCTTTTTTTTTTAAAAAAACTGAAAACCCTGCAAACACATGAAAATAAATATGAAGTATATAACCTCATTATTATAAATATATATACTCTTTACTCGATGATTGGGTAAAATTTTCACATATGCACATTCTTATTTCCTTAGTATAATTATTTTAAGTATTGCTTTTAAAATATAAAGTCTTGACTAGAACAAAACATGTAATTAACTAACTACTGGTTCTATTAGTGATGATAACTGTGGGACCATGACTTCATGAGTTTCTCAGTTCATGTAAAGATTTGCTTTACTTAAACTTCTGGAAAATGTTTAATGGAAACTCTTAGTGATCTGGAAGTTATTTCTTTTTACATGTTTTATTTTTACTTTTGGGGTATAACAGGTGGTATTTAGGGCTTGCTCCTACCTTCATACTCAAGGGTCATTTCTGGTGGTGCTCAGGAAACAATCTAAGATGCTGCAGATCAAACCCTGATGGTCTGTGTGCAAGGCAAGCACCCTATTCACTGTACTATATCTCTTTACCTCCCCCTTTTTAATATCTTTTAATTGTATTTGAGTTGATGTTTGAAGGAAACGACTTTCAAAGATGTAAAATAAAGAATGCGAAATCCATCTACAGCAAGGATTTTTGTGGGGCTACACATGATGGCATTTTACAGTCTGTTGTTATCTAGATGATTTTCTTTACTTTATTCAGGTACAAAGCAATTGTGCAACGCTGCAAGAGGTGGAAGATTTATGTAAACTGCATTGTCTTAGTGTAGTTCTTCAGCTGCACTTACCTCTTTCTCAAAGAGCTTGTGGTAGAGTCATCACTTCTTGTTGGAACAAGAGCATTCTTACATTCTTAAGAATGGTAAATATTCATGTTATATATTCAAACCCTTCATTAGTTCATTACTTTTTGTTTCAACTGTTGTATTACTGAAAAGATTATCTTGGCTTTTTGACTTATTTTTGTTTTGGGGCATCACTGATGGTTCCCAGGTTCACACTTCTGGCTCTGCTCTCAGGGATCCCACCTAGTGGGATTTAGGGGGCCATATGGGAAGCTGGGGATTGAACCCAAGTTTGTTAAATAAAAGCATCCTACTCATAGTGCTATTGTTCTAGTCCTAAAATTACCATCACTTAATATATATTTACATGGGAACAGTGGCAGCCCTTTGCAGGAGTTTAAATATTTAGTAGCTCAAATCAATCACTTATTTATTTTAATAACTTGGTTTGGTAGTCATAAAAAACAGAATGACATAAGTTTAAAGTAAAGCAAAGGCCTCTTCTGTTTTCTCTTTAAATCTTTGTCATGACCAGGTATTTGTACCATTAGTTAAAGAAAATTTATGATCATTGTGTTCAGTTCTTAAGAGAAACTGAAAAAGCCAATGTAATGGTCTATTTTTTTGTCTAGAATAGAAAATATTTAGGACAAATTTGTAAAATTTTGGTCAATAAAAAACATAGACAGCTACCTAATGCTTTCTTTCTTAAAGTACTGCTGGTAACTATTAATTAAAAATTATTTTTCCATGAAATGTCTTAGATTATCCATCACTTGCTATTGTTTCTTATAATTCCTCTACTATGGGAGTTTTGATTTTTATATTAAAAATGTTACTTTGGTGAATAATTTTCCCTTTTATTAAACTTTATTATGTGCTGAGCAATAGTACAATGGTAGGGACTTTGCCTGTGCACAGCCAGCCCGGCCGAGCTGGGTTCTATTCCTCTGCCCCTCTTGGGGAGCCCGGCAAGCTACCGAGAGTATCTTGCCCGCACGGCAAAGCCTGGCAAGCTACCCATGACGTATATGCCAAACACAGTAACAACAAGTCTCAAAGTGGAGACGTTACTGGGCCTGCTCAAGCAAATCGATGAACAACGGGAGGACAGTGTTTGTTTGTTTGTTTTTAAACTTGATGCCCATAAAATAAATTAGCTAATGAACAGAACTGTATCATTATTTTCAAGTCAAAGTGACCAAAAGTGTGTTTTAGAAACAGTCCACTAGGAAATTGGTCCACAAATATATGAATTAGTGAATCACTAGCAATTCAGAAAATATATATATGTATATTCTTACCCATACCTCCCATTGCCTTTATAGAGCTATGTTTTTGCTAAGAAAGACAAGGATATCCGCATTTACCACAATCATTGTGTTGGAAGTCCTATTCAAAACTATTAGAAAAGAAAAAGAAAAATAAATAATTCAAATTGGAAAAGATGTAAAACCATCAATATAGCCATAAGACATGCTAATACACAGGAAAAAACTTTAAATACTCCACTAAAACTATTAAAATAGTATTAGCTACTGTAAAGTGGCAGACAACAAAAAGCTACCAAAATTCGGTTATATTTCAGAAAGGTAAAGGTAAAGGCCCTCCCGTTGTTAATTGATTTGCTCAAGTGGGCCCAGTAACGTCTCCATTGGAGACTTTGTTGTTACTGTGTCTGGCATATCGAATACCTCACGGGGAGCTTGCCAGGCTCTCCGAGAGGGGCGGAGGAATCGAACTCGGGTTGGACATGTTGGCTGCGTGCAAGGCAAACGCTCTGCCACTGTGCTATCGCTCCAGCCCCATATTTCTAGAAACCTTGAGAAATATCCATTTATATTTACATAAAAAGAATAAATCAATAGAAATAAACTAGACAAGGGAAGTGAACACATGTACACTGAAAACTCTTAAGACATTGCTAAAAGAAATATAAACACATGCAAATAGAATGCTATTTAGTTAACATTATTGATTACCTGTTGATAATACTTTGGATATGTTTGGGTAAAATTAATTAATAAAATTAAATTCTGCCACTGTCTCTGTCATTGTCCTCCCGTTCATAAATTTGCTCCAACAGGCCTAGTAATGTCTTCATTGTGAGACTTGTTGTTACCGTGTTTGGTATACTGAATATGTAATGGGTAGCTTGCCAGGCTTTGCCGAGCGGGCGAGATACTCTCGGTAGCTTGTTGGGCTCTCCGAGAGGGGCGTTGGAATTGAACCCGGGTAGGTCAGGTTGGCCATGTGCAAGGTAAACACCCTACCACTATGATATTCAACATTTTTAAATGCTTAGCTTTTCAAAAATTTAAAGTAACAAGCAAAACTTTCTCACATAACATTCAGGTGGAATTATTCTGGGATAAAGCTATGTAATAGGCACTGGAGAGATATTACAATGAGTAGGGCACTTGCCTTATTTGTGGCCTACTTGGTTCATCTTTGCAATCCCATATGGTCCCCCAGTACCACCAGAAGTTATCCCTGAGTGCAGAACCAGCAGTAAGCCCTGAGCAGTATTGGATGTAGGACACCCCCCTACCCCTCCAAAGAAGGTATACATAAGCACATAGAAATTGCTCACAATGGAAAAGTGTGTGCATGTGTGTGTGTGTGTGTGTGTGTGTGTGTGTGTGTGTTTAATCTAGGGAGCAGAGAGCAGAGGAGAAGCCCCAGTTCTTCTTTCTGTATTTAACTCTCCAACCATTGTATTGTAAGGCTGATGAGGCTCTCACTTACTGACAATGTAGTCTAAGTGCCATCAGTAAGGATATCACTCTATAAAAACATTATCTCACTGCCACAGACCACGGGAGCAAACACAGTATAGGTATATAAATCTTTGAGTTTGAAGGATTAAGTATTTTTCTCCAACTCTGCCCTATCAAATGTGGGCTCTCTTACATTCAAAAGTAAAATTGAAAAATATTCTATTAAATGTTTTTAAGCCTTATTTAGATTTTAATAACATTTAATAGAATATTTCTGTAGTGCTTGAACTCTACTGGAGGGTAACTATATTTAAAAAAATTATGTTAACTCAAATATGAAACTCTCTGATTCATAATAAATAATAGCACTGCATTTTGTAATCAATTTGATTTTATTTTGCTTTAATTTTTTTAAGGGTAGAAAGCATTCATCATTAGCCAGCCCTGCCCCTGCTGACTTATTTGTCAGCTGGATTTTAGACTTGTTTTAAATCATGTTAATATGAAACTAGTTAATAACTGGATTTTACTTCCTATTTACAGAAAAGATGGTGTGAATATTTTATCCTTAGTAATATAAATAAATTTGACTTTTGGAATCTGAATTTAACTCATCTCTCTGACTTAAGTGATGATCTCTTGTTGAAGAATATTGCTTTTTACTATGAAAATGAAAGTGTTGAAGGTAACAATTTAGTTAATCTATTATGCCTATTTTTTGTGGGAGCACCCTCCCAAACTGCTCAATGGGGTGACAGATCAGTGGGGGATACTCCCATAGATTCTCAGCCAACTGCCTTCAGTTCAATACAAGGGCTTGATTTATTTTGTTTTAGTGTGTATGTGTCGGGGGGGAGAGGAGAGGAAGGGGGGTGTGGGATTAACTGATACATCTGATTTTTCATATTTAGTATTTTAAACTTATATAGACCTGCATTCGAATTTGGGACATGTCATTATGAAGGATTATGAGAATCTCTGGAATACAGTATCAAAGTTAGTAATTCAGTTTGATGTTGGAAAGCCGTCGCCTCTGAGAACCACACATCTTCCTTTCCTACAGAAAGAACCATTAGCAGTCATGGGAAGTAAGTCTCAAAATTAACTTGAAATATAAGCATTTTTCTTCTGAAAATGTTTTGAAACTTCCACAAAATATTTCAAGAAACAGGAATTTTCTAGCATTATATATTTTAGTAATATGGGGCTGGAGAGAGAGTACAGCAGGTAGAGTCCTTGCTTTGCATGTTATAAACCTGTTCACCCCATACGGGCCCTCTGCACTTGGGCCAGGTGTGATCTCTAAGTGCAGAGCCAGGCATAAGCCCTGAGCACTGCTGGGTGTGGCTCGAAAACAAGAACAAATAAAAAAAATAGCTAAGTTTTATTTTTACATCATGGGGTACTCTGTGTGTGTCTATATAGCACTGTCCTCCCATTGTTCATCGATTTGCTCGAGCGGGCACCAGTAACATCCCCATTGTGAGACTTGTTGTTACTGTTTTTGGCATACTGAATACGTCACGAAGAGCATGCCAGGCTCTGCCATGCGGGGGGATACTCTCGGTAGCTTGCCGGGCTCTACGAGATGGACGGAGGAATCCAACCCGGTTCAGCCACATGCAAGGCAAATGCCCTACCCGCTATGCTATTGCTCCTATATGCATATTTCATATATGTGTTAGACATACAAACACATTTTAAAAAGTGACTATGGCTAAGTTTAAAATTAATAGCAGAAGAAGTTCCAGGACCAAAAATCAGGATAGCCCTAATTCAGAAAACTTTGTGGTCAACTGAATCTGGCAGAATCTCTGTGAATTATAATTTTATTAATTGTGGTTTTCACAGAATTCTTGAGAAATATGAATAGAAATGCCAATCTATAAAATAATAGAAAATAAATAGCTAATAGAAACAGTAGAATAAAGAACTTGAATTCCTAAGTAGTTCAGATTTAGTAACTGTCCAAAACAGTAGATGTGAGCACTAAAAATCTTAAAGAATTCAAAATTAAAACTGAAGAAAATAATTATAATTTTTAAAAACTATTATCTATCTATTGTCTGTCTGTCTGTCTGTCTATCATCTACCCATCTATCTATGTTTGGTTTTGGGACAACACCAGGTTTTTTTAAGGAGTACTCCTGGTTCTGTGCTTATGGATCACTCCTGGGAGTGCTCAGGTGACCATATAGGGTGCTGGGATTCAACCCAGATTGCCATAGGCAAACATTTTACCTGCTGTACTCTCTCTCCTGCCCTAAAACAATATGTTTTAAAACTAACATACTAAAAACTGTACTAAATAAAACTAAAAATTTTAATGATAATGCTATAAGTATTAACCACAATTACTAAAACCTTATAATATTTTAAAACATAATTCACATTTTAAACTAACCAGACTTTTAGAAATTAAAATATTATAAACACATGAAATAAAAAAATTGGTTGGATGTTGCTAAAGAAAAAATAAGTGACTTAGAAATGTTAGATATCAATTATATTTCATTAAAGTTAGAAAAATATTAGGAGTAAATGGAATAAATTTAGATAACCTATAAAAGTGATCTTAAAAGATGAAGATAGAACGAAGAAGTTGCTCTTTTCTGTATTTAGCTATTCAGAAGGAGAAAATAAATTTATTAATGTATGTTGGCAGAATTGGAAGAGATCATGGCTAAGTTTTTGCCTGGACTGATGAAAAACAAGAGTTTGCACATTCAGAAAGGATAATGAATCTTGTTTTTGTTTGTTTTTGCTACACCCGGCATTGCACAGGGTTACTCCTGGCTCATGCACTCAGGAATTACTTCTGGCGGTGCTCGGGGGACCATATGGGATGAGGGAATTGAATCTGGGTCGGCTGCATGCAAGGCAAATGCCCTATCTGCTGTGCTATTGCTCCAGCCCCATGAATAATGAAGCTTAAGTGGGATAAACTGCATATGTTCACTCATAGACAATTGCATATTCTAGCTATGATAAAGTAAAACCATATAATAGGAAATATAAATAGCCTAAAATATGAAGTTGCACCGGAATAAAAATTAGGCTAATATTAGACTTTCCCTTTAGTATGTTGGCCAGCATATAGTGAAATCATAATTTAAGAATGAAGGGATAATGTAGACATTTTACTAAAGACAAGAAACCATATATCTGTCATAATGTTACTGAAGGCACTTCCTCATGTAGACCTTCAGGAGAAGGAAATGATTATAGAAGGAGCGTGAGATGGAGAGCTAATGGGAAATTAATGCAGATTTAAAAAATGTATTTAAGGGGCTGGAGAGATAGCACAGCGGTTAGGTCATTGGCCTTGCACGCAGCTGACCCCGGTTCGATTCCCAGCATCCCATATGGTCCCCTGAGCACTGCCAGGAGTAACTCCTGAGTACAGAGCCAGGAGTAACCCCTGTGCATCGCCAGATGTGACCCAAAAAGCAAAAAAAAATGTATTTAAATAAAGACAAAGTCCACAACTGTTGATGTAATTCTAGAGCTGAAATTGATTAGATAACAAATGTCCAATATTGAAATTTATATGTATAACACTGTATCACTGTCATCCCATTGTTCGTCAGTTTACTCCAGCAGGTGCCAGAAACGTCTCTATTCCTCCCAGCCCTGAAATTTTTAGCAGCCTCTTCTTACTCGTCTTTCCCCAATGATTGGAGGCTCTTTTCAGGGTCAGGGGAATGAGACCTGTTGTTGTTAGTGTTTTTGGCATATTGAATACTCCACGGGGAGCTTGCCAGGGTTTGTCTATGCGAGCGGAATACTCTCGGTAGCTTGCCAGGCTCTCTGAGAGACATATATTTATACGTTTATAATCTCCTCGGAGATTTAGTTGCCTACTGTCTAAACCCCATCAAATATGGTGTGGTAATTATGAAAAATGGGTAGGAAGTGTCTTATATTAATTTGCAGCCGCGTGGTTCAGAAAGTGGCCTGGAGTGTGGTGGCGGTTCTGTAGTGGAGATTGGGTGGCGAGGCCGGGTCCCTTGGGGCAGGGAGGGCTCTTACTTACCCCACTATGGGTCGACCCAGCCTGGCGCGGAGTCTGGTGGCATGATAATGGGGGCCTCATTTTATACTCCCATCTGGGAGGAGCAGCCAAGATTACTGGAAGGTGGCCAATGAGGAGATTATCTGTTGCTGGCAGAATGTGCATTGTGGGTGTGACCCCTGAGTCACTGGAGACTGGAGGAAGCAGGCAGAGGATCTCTGCTCCCAGGTCCCATTGAGTCCAGAGTCCAAGGTCACAAAGTTTCACATTATCTGGGTTCCATGGTACTTTATTCATGCGTGGGGCTTGGCTCGAGCATTTGGAAAGTGGCCTGGAGCGTGGCAGCGGTTGGGTGGTGGAGGTCGGCTGCCAGGGCTGGGTCCCCTGGGGTGGGAAGGGCTCCCACCCACCCCACTCTGGGGCGACCCAGCCTGACACTGGTCTTTATACATCTTTATATGTATAAAGATCTATTTTTATATAAAAATGTTATATTCCATGTCTAAAACTTTACTAAGCTGTTTGCTACTTGCTGATCCCTCTGTGTTATTATTTTTATTTGTTGAGTTTAGTTAGCTTGTTAAAATGGTGTGGAATTTTGGTATTTCAGAGGTCTTATGGTTCAGGATCTATGATCTATGGTCTGGGCCATTACCAAAGCGGTGGAGAGAACTGTTGTCATAGTTACAGTAGTGGTGTGTGTGTGTGTGTGTGTGTGTGTGTGTGTGACTGCTTCATGATCTTTCATGGGGTAGATAAGCCTCCCAGGGTGCCCAAGAATTTTCAGTTAAGGGAATCTATGTGGCCATGAATCTTAGCTGCTTGGCTTGCATCTCCTCGGAGATTTAGTTTTGAATCTGTAGGGTATGGCTGGTGGATGAGTCACCATGAGTGTAGGGGTGAGTATGGCTCCAATGTGTATCGTTTTAAGTGTGTATTTTATAGTATGTTAAAGAATAGAAATATTTCTTACTTCTGTCAGCCTGAGATAAAGTCTTGAGTGTAAGTAGTTTACTCTAGGAATAACAAGGGAGTGACTACATAGGACAGGGGAGGGATAAGTAGCAATGTTTATGAGTAGGTTTCTATTTCAAGAAACTCCTGGAAAATTTTACTGGGAATCTCAGTCTGGCTGAGGCTTCTTTCTTAGGCACACAATTCTTTGCCCTTCTAGTCTGTTCACTTAAGTTATAACAAGTTTTCAAAGAGTTGAGGTGTGCAGTAAGAAGAAACTCAGGAATAGTGAATGTAAAATAGGGTAATAGGCAGATTAATGGTATCTTACCTAGGATTATGAACCAGAATCTAAATAAAACGCATGGTTGTCCTTCATCTAGTGTTCTGCCAATCCTATTTAGGATGACTCGAGTGAACAACTTGTAGATGACAGACAATAGGCAGATCAGGCGATAGTTGCCAATGTCATGGATGTCTCCCTTCTTGAACAGTAGTACGGTCCTGCTGGTTTTCCATTGGAACGGAAACTTGCATTCAGACAGGTAGCGAGAGAAGAGCCGAGCCAGTGTACTGATGAGTACTGATGGCAGTTCTTCAGGTGTTCAGGTCTGACCTTGTCTGGGCCAGGTGCTGTTTGTTTCTTTACCGACGAAATGGTGTGTTGGATTTCGGAAGGGAGAACGTTGGGAACGACATATCCATCCTGTGGAATTTGGTATGTCGGCAAGTGGACATGGCTATTGAAGAGATTTGAGCAGAAGTCATGGATAATCTTCTCCACTGCAGTTCTGGAGGATGTGATGGATCCATCAGGACGTCGGAGGGCAGTCAACTTGGTCTTGTAGTTGGCGAAGGACAGGCGGGCGTTACAAATACTTTTCCCGGCTTCTGCCGCATCTACCAGTACTTCTGCTCTTCTCTCTTTGAGGTCTTCCTTGATCGCATCTCTGCACTGCTTTGCGAGCTCGGACGTTAGCTTGCGGTTGCCTGAGGCATGCGCCAAACCACACTGGCGAATGAATTCAAGAGAATACTGAAAAAATAATTGTAATGGATCTTTAAGTATATGAAGATTTGAATATGTCAATTCTTTAATAAAGAATTATAACAAAAAATCAATCATATTTTCTCTCTGTTCCTCTGCCCCTATTTCTGTATGTCCCATTCTCTCCCTGAAATTTCTGTATTTCTTTATACTTTTTTTTTTATTAGTGAAAAAATATGGAACACTTCACGAATTTGCGTGTCATCCTTGTGCAGGGGCCATGCTAATCTTCTCTGTATCGTTCCAATTTTAGTATATGTGCTGCCGAAGCGAGCACTGTATTTCTTTATACTTTATTGTGATCCAAAAACTTTTCTTCTCTTCCATACCCCCAGACTTCTTAATGTGGAAAATAGCTTTAAGGAAAGAATTGTGATTGATAAATACAAATAAGAGCAAGAAAAAAAGGTTTTAATTATGAAGTCTTAGAAAATAATGTGTAATGCTACTAATGAGAAGCTTTGTTTTAAGAGCTTCACGGCTTCCAAGGCGAGATACAATAATTTTCACACACTTTTTTCTAAACAAACCATTTTGGATCATTTTTAGTGGATTATTCCTAACAAGCATTACAAAATAAATTATTTAGGATGTTCCTTTGGGGCATACTTGGGTGGTGGTAGGAAAATTTGAAATAATGGTGGTGGGAAGGTGCAATGGGGTGGGATTGGTGTTGGAATATTGAATGTAATTAATTATTGTGAACAACTTTATAAAAATAAAATTAAAAAATAAAATAAAAGCTTCATATTTGACTTTATGCTACTTTTCTTGTTTATAGAAATCTCTGAGGAGAAGATGCCCAATTTGGGTTTTATTCCGGTGTCATCTGAGTTGGTTGATAACTTTGTTGGAGACTTATTGAAAGATTTCCCTTTCCTAAAGCGGTTTGTCCTAAAGTTCTTCAGCAAGTGCTTGTGTAGAATGGATGAATCTCTCTTAAAGATGCTTTGAGGCCTTCCTGGAATTAGGTGGTGAGAGATATTAAAAAAAAAACTAAAGATACTTTGAGCTACAACAATCAGATATAGTATGTTGAATGTAATATATGTCTGAAATACCTAAGGAGCAGTATCAAGTTTATCAATATACTTTTGAATTATTTTCTAAGTAAAATTAATATGCTTCAATCATAAAGTAAAATAACTACAGCTGCATATTTTATATCAAAGAACGTGTTAATATTTGTTGATGTTGTTAGAGGCACAAAGTTCTTAAGTTTTTAACAAGCTACTCTTTTATCTGATACCACCTCTCATGTTGTAATACAGATATAGGGAAGGTGGTTATAACTTGTAAAATTATTACTGCAAAATAAAGTGTACTATATTATATAAGTAGGCATACAATTTAATATATACTTGTGTTTCTGTTTGTCTCATAGTGACGATCCCATTGTAACATCACTGGTTAAACAAAAGGAATTTGATGAACTGCTGCATTGGCATTCTCTCAGACCTCTTAGTGATGATTATGACAGGACAAAGAGTTCAATTCCAGGTGACTTCTATAATTCTGGTGAAGTGAAATCAATTTCACTCTGTACCTTTTGTAGTGGAAAATTGTAACATAAATCACAATTATATTTATTGAAAAAATATATCGTGTATCAAAGTATATATCAGTAAAGGTGGTAATAAAAGGGGCTGGAGAGAGAGTGCAGTGTTAGGGTACTTGTCTTGCACAAAGTTGATTTGCATACTAGGTATCCCAAGTCCTGATAGGAATGACCCCTGAGCACAACAATAAGTTCTGAGCATGACTGGATGTGGTCCCCAAAGAAATAGAAAAGCAAACAAAAAGATGGTGATAAAATATTCACGTTTTCTGACCATCATGGTTAAGTAGGTGGGTTTGCAAATGTTATGGGAAGCAAGCAAAAGTACTAATTCACAAAGGAAGATACACATATAGCTGGTGAATACTTGAAGATGTGTGCAACATCTTTATGCACTAATCAGGCAATGCAAATGAGTACCAGGATCTTTCCCTCTCACATCCATAAAAATGGCTGACGTCAAAGTTAAACATAGCATTTATCTAAAATTTTACAATAAATCAGATAACCTGTGGTGAAAATATAAATAGGAAAGTGATTATAGTAAGGAAAAAAATGGTAAAGAGTATTTTGATGGTGATAAAAAGTCTTCTATATCTTAACAGAAATGAGATTTGCACTAATGAATGCTTTTATCAATATTTACCAATTCACGTAATATATTTCATTGTGTACCTTTTGCTACCATTTCCAACTATAGAACTTACCAGATTTATTTTGCCAATGGTTTCAGTTGCATTTTCTCTTTTTTGAGTTTTGTTTTATTTTTTTATCAAATCACTCTGAAATAGAATATTACAAAGCTGGTCATGATTGGATTTTAGGCATACAATGCTCCAAACACCCATTCCTTCCCCAGTGTAATTTCTCAGCACAAATGTCCACAGTTTTCCTCCCACTCTCCCAAATCTCCCCACCCTAAACTGCCTCTATGGAAGAAAACTCTCTTCTCTCTCTATTTCATTTTAGGCATTATGGTTTGCAACATAGATGCTAAAAGGTTATCATGTAGATTCCTTTACCTACTTTCAACACTCAATTATTGTCCAGAGTGATCATTTCCAACTATTAGTGTTGTGCTGGATCCTCTTCTATCTTAACTACCATTTATCCCTCCCCTCCCCCATACACTTGTGGTAATTTCAACCACTCTCTTGGCTCCTGTTTTATCCGAACTTGGATATTAGTCTCATATTATTTTTTATAACTCACAAATGAATGCAGTCATTCAATATCTGTCCCTCTCCTTCTGACTCATTTTACTTAGTATGATATTCTCCAGGTCCATTCACTTGAAGGCAAATTTTATGATTTCATTTCTTAACAGGTGTGAAGCATTCTATTATGTAAATATACCATAATTTCTTTATCCAGTTGTCTGTTCTCAGGCACTCAGTTTGATTTTAAATTTTGGCTGACGTGAGTAGTGCTACAATGAACATAGGAGTGCAGATGGTGTTTCTACTGTGTGTTTTTGGACCCCGGGGTATATTCCAAGAAGTGGTATTGCTGAGCCAAACGGGACTCAAGTTTTGGTATTTGAGGCATATCCATATTGTTTTCCAAAAAGGCTGGAGTGGGCCAGAGCAATAGTACAGCAGATAGGGCATTTGCCTTACACGCGGCTAACCCAGTTCAATCCCTGGCATTCCAAATGGTCCCCCAAGCACTGCCAGGAGTAATTCCTGAGTGCAGATCTAGGAGTAATTCCCAAGTGCAGAGCCAGGAATAACTCCTGAGCATCATCTGTGGGTGGGACCCAAAAAACAAACAAACAAAACAAACAAACAAACAAACAAACAAAAAAACAAAAAAAAATCTGGAGCAGTAGGTATTTTCACCAGCAATGAATGAGGGTCCCTTTCTCTCAGCATCCACACCAGCTCTGATTGTTCTTCTTCATTTGGATGTGTGCTAGTCTCTTTGATGTGAGATGATATCTCATTGTCATTTTCATTTGCATCTCCCTGATGATTAGTGATGAAGGACATTTTTTTCAGTGCCTCTTGGACATTCAAATTCCATCTTTGAGGAAGTTCCTGTTTATTTCTTCTCCCTATTATTTAATGCTGTTTGATGATGATGCTTTTTCTTGTAAAGTTCTACCAATGCCTTGTAGATTGTTGCTATTAAGTCCTTATTAGATGGGTTCAGTTACATTTTCTGAAGTCATGTTCTGTGTCTTTTAAGTTTAAGAAAAGAGAAAAATATCTTGCCCTAAAGTCTACTGGACAAGAGAATTGATGAATAATTTCTTTGTTTTGTTTGTGTTTTGTGGCCACACCTGCAGTGCTCATTGATTTCTCCTGATAGTTATTTGTAGAAACATATATGATGCTTGGGATCAAATCCAGGTAGTTTATAAGACAAGAATGCTCTCGCTGTGCTCTCTGTCTCTTATAAATATCTTTTAATAAATATAAAAAAGGGTTTCAAGAAAAATGCGTTAAAACCTGCAGTTTAAGAAATCTTGTATTTTTAGAAATTACATATACTGAGGCCAGAGATTTTCAAATTAGTTTCAGTTTCATTCATGCTACCAGTTGAACTGTAACAAGCTTTCTAATCTGCCTTCATGCTGACTGGAACTGTGAAAGCACTAGTAGCAGATAATTACTGATCAAAGTATGGATCTTGTCTCCTTGGTTTATTCTTTGTCTTAATCTCCTCTGTCTATGTCTTCTCTAGTTCAAGTTGACAACAATTTCTTTCAGAAGAATTTCAGAGTATAGAAAAGATGTTTGAGTAAAATATTTGCCAGATTGTTAAAAACTATCAAGATTCTGAAAGATGTGAAAGGTTACTTTGAATTCAGGGGTGGGGAATTTTTTTTTCTGCCAAAGTCTATTTGGATATTTATTACATTGTCCATGGACCATACAGTGTAGACAGATAGACTTCAGGGATCCAATGAGAAACATATGTATCTTTCCCATCATGTATCAGGGCCAGATTCAATGATTTCACGGACCTTTTATGGCTCATGGACCTGAAGTTTACCATTCCTGCTTTAGATGAACAAGTATAGCTTTCAAACTGGCTTGATTTAACATATGAATGTATTAAAAGGTAAATATAATATGCATTGATTATAAAAATATATAGTATATATAATGAAAAATATTAAATATAATTTATAAAACAAACATAAATACAGAATGACTTAGTTATTCCTTTTGAATGAATATTATAATTTTCTTTGGGTATAATTGTGAAGGTTTACTATGTGACTTGATTTCAACATAGTAAAGTTTTCCTCAGCTGTGAAACTTTTGCCCAGAATAAGAATCTTTGCTTTTACGAATAAAGTTTTGCTGATTTGCCATTGATTTGTCATACATTTCGGGACTACAGCTTCCTATCTCTGTATATGTATAAATCTTACTATATCTACTGCCAAAGTTAGAACCACCACATAACAAATGATCTTACTACCCCTTTGCTAAATACCATGTTTTTTTTTCACAGTGCCTGAGAGTTATTTTTGTTGTTTTGCCAGTTCATGTGCTTTGGTTACTATTACTTACATAAGTATAAATATTTGGTAATTATTTTATACTTCCCATCTTATTTCACTTACCATGATTTTATCAGGCTGTTTTTTTCTCTTGTGGTAAGCTATACATACCACAACTTCTTTATTTAATTGCCTGTCTACAGACATTTTGATTAACTCCCAATTTTGACTTTTGTGAATAAGTTATTAAGAACTGAGAAGCGTAAATATTTTTGGAATTACTGTTTTCATGTTTCTTGAATTACTGCCTACAAGTGGTATTGCTGAATCATATGGTATTTTTATTTTAATTTTAAGCGATTACTTTCCTTAGAAAATGCAAATTACATTACAATTTTCAGTATATCAAATGTGCCTTTTTCTCCATACGTTAGTCACTTTTTGTTTCCAATCTTTTGATAGAGGCCATTTCAAGGGAGAATTTTTCTATCCAAGGATGCAAAATGTTCAAATGTTTCAGATGGTCATTTTCTGGTGTATGCTTCTGCCTTTTTGTTCTTAAACACATTTCTAGTGCACATGACAAAGATAATTCACTAAATATTATTATTTGTAACATCATGATATTTGTTTTTAGATTGAAGGCAATGAAAGAACATTTTGTCATATATTAACCCTAAAAAATTGTTCTATTGACCAGAACAAACTTGGTTTAAGATTATTTCTTTAACAAACTACATTGTTGTTCCAAACTTAAACATAAAGTGCATGTTCGCCGAGGAGGAAGAAGAAAATTAGTGAGAAGACTATTAAAAAATATGCATTTGTGTTACATATTCTTCTCTTTTTCAGAGAATCCTAACGATCTGTACTATCTTAGAAGTTACCAAAAATATATTGTATTTCAACGGTTTTATGGAAGTTCATTGGAATCAGCTCCTTCAAAACTCATTATAACTGAAACTGCCAAGAAAAGGAATTTTGGGTCACCCAAGAGCAAAAAGGCACATGTAGGTTCTATAAATCATATCATAATATTTTCTTTCATTTTTCTTTAGGTGATGTTTTTTCAGTCCCTTTGGTAGCTGCTTTCTAGGCTGTAATTTATCTGTGTATATACTTAGTTGCTAAGAATGATTGATGATTACTCATAAGAGGATGAGTAAGGTCATCGATACACAATCCAATGATATGTAATAAAATAAAATATATAATAAAAGGGCTGGAGTGATAACACAGCGGTAGGGCATTTGCCTTGCATGCAGCCAACATGGCCAACCCGAGTTCGATTCGTATATATTGGAAATGCTTAACTTAAAGCATGTCAATTATATTTATGTAATCCATCTATCTAGTTAATTTTTACATTTCATTTAGTTATTACTCCTAATTTATTCACCAAATGAGAACTAAATGTTTGCGTGTGGGCATATAGAGGTCTCAGGCACATTCCTGTCTTATAATTTTTTCCTTTTTTCCTTCTTATAATTTTTTCCTTGTTTTTGAGCCACATCTGGCGACATCACGAACCCAAATATTGAATAATAGTAGAGGTATTGAGGTATCTGTAAAGAAATGAAAATTACAAAACTAATTTTAGGGAGTAGATTCTTATACAAATAGTGACCTGATTATTTTTATCTTATATTATTAGTTTTACTTTTTCAAGGATGAATCCTTGGACTTTACACATATCAAATCTTGGCCCTGACATTTATTCTTTATAATCTACTCCACTTAGAAATCTAGGAATTATCTCTAGATAAGGTTTATAGTCATTGAGCTTAACTGTCACACATTTTTAATTATTTTTTAACGTTTACAAAAAGGATAAACAGGTACTGAAACTAAATTTATGCCTGATCAAGAATGGGCTGGTATTAAAAGAATCAGTATATATTTTAAAATAGTGCCTGATTGATGACATATAATATTGAAATTTTTCATTTTATTTCTTATTGCTTTATTCTCTTTTGAGTAGACCAAGGCTGAAATAATTACTAGAGAGAATGAGAAAAGGTTATTTGCCAAGAAAGAACAAAAAGAAGAGCAAAAGTGGAATGTTTTATCAGTTTCTATTGAAGAGGAGATGAAGAAGAATTTAAACTCTGGAATACAGAACCTGGAAGATTTTTTGAAATCATGTGAAAGTAATTCAGTGAAATTTCGAGCTGAAATGGCAGGGTTGACCACATGCTTCAGAGAATGGAAAGAGCATTGTAAAGGGGAAGGTATATGTTTTGTTTTTTCTCTTGATAAGTTTAAGAATTTATTAAAAATTATTTTGTATTTGTTTTTGTGCCACACTAAGAAGTGCTCAGGTTGTACACTCAGGGATCACTCCCCAGGGATCTTGAGAGACCATAGGTGGTTCCAAAGATAGAACCTGGATTGGCCCGATACAAGACAAGAGCCCTACCTGTTGTACCATTCTAAAGCTCTTACAAAAATACCTAACGGTGAGATACCAAGATTTGTTTCAGAAGCTTAGATAATTATTTGATTTTATTCTTGCAAAGTTATTCTAATTATTATTTCTTTTATCTTATTAGTGAGTGATTAAATCTCAAGAAAGAGCCACTCTAGAAAATATATAGCAAGACCACAATTAAAGATAGGTTTAAAAATGAGTAATTAGGGGGCTAGAGCAATAGTACAGCAGGTAGGGCATTTGCCTTGCATGCAGCCGATCCGGATTCAATTCCCAGCATCCCATATGGTCCCTTGAACACAGCCAGGAGTGACTCCTGAGTGCAGATCCAGGAGTAACCCCTGAGCATCATCGGGTGTGACTCAAAAAGCAAAATAAATAAATAAATAAATAAAAAGAGCAATGGGGAAAATAAAAGATATATGTGACTGTAAAAAAATGGGAAGGGATTAGCTATCAATATGCTGTTGGAATAAAGTAAATTTAGAAGTTCTATGGATTCCAGTAAATCCTATGATCGCTAGTAGAACTCAGAACTGTTGCTTAACTGGGTGCTTAAAGACACATGAATATTTTTCTTTGAACAATAGGGAAGACAGGGACATAATAGGTGGAGAAAATATTTGTTGTTCATCCAAAATGTACATAATTCTGAGCTTTAGCAGTCTCAATTTCTTTATGAACCACGAGTTTTTTTCCTTTTTCATCAATATTTAGTTGCTTCACAACAATCCACAGAATTGATGATGAGTTTACAGTTAAATGTGTATTTAGTTTTCTGTATCCCACAGCTTCCATGAATATTGAGTAAGAGCATAAGTGTAATTAGTTCAGATTGATAAACTCCCTGACTAATCTTGGATTACCAAAGTATTTTTCTGGTGTTTCAAGAAGTGAACTTATTGTTTATTTTCTGCCAAGGTAAAATAAAAAAAGATTTAAACATAGCTGTTCAAATGATGAGAAGGATTCACTCTTTGCTGGAAAAATACCCAGAACTTTTGCACAAGGAAGATCAAAAGCTCATTGCCAGATGTCTTAAATATTTAGGATTTAATGAATTGTCAAGCTTTTTATGTCCACCACAGGTAACATTATCAAAATCTCTTTATTTTTATAATTATTGGATATCGTGCATAAGGTGTCTTGCAAATACCATGTTTGTAGATTTTTTTACAGAAAATAATTACTCAATATTCATAGTTATTTGCAATCCAGTTATCAAACTTGCAATAATCCAGATTTAGAAAGCTTGCCACCTGTTTGCTTGAAAAACAGATTAAGGGGGTTTAATGCTGCCAGCAGGTCAATCTGTACCTGTGAGGCGAGTGCATCAGCAGCCTGATGGCACCATCAGGCTTTCAGATACCCAAAAATTGCTGCTGTGCCTTTGGCTAGACCCCAAAAACTTGGGGCAAAGTTTATCAAGAAAGTAAACAGTGAAAAGTTAGGGATGTGGGAGACACAGCCACAAACCACCTCTGGCTCATCTATATAATTGGAGGCAGGGCCTCTCTGGTTCCTGATCGAACTGCTTCAAGACCATGATCCCAGAGACTCAGAAACAAATCTTGGAACTCAAAGGCTTTTGGCAGAAATGCATCCTGTTCCTGCAGTAGGTTACTGGCGCTGGGCTACTCCAGGTGGGAATAGGTTTCGTGCCTTGGCCTGTTCCCCTTGGCGGCCCAGTGACCACCACCCTCCAGACAGTCAGGTTTGGGCCTGCAGTGACGAGACATGCGGGGCCTCACCAGATGGAGGTGGAACCAGCCCTCTCCTCCCCATCCCAGCAAGACACCGAGTTGCCACCTACAAATGGCCTCTTCGGCTCCTGATCAAGCTATAACTGCCATGATCCCAGAGACTCAGAAACATATCTCAAAACCCAGCGGCTTTTGGCAGAAATGCATCTGGACCGCATACAAGGTGGCTGCTGCCTCAGAGCTTCATGGAAAGCCAGGTATGAGCCAGCGGTGATGGGGCAACTGCAGTCTCATGGGAAGGGAGATGGTACCGGCTCGTCCTTCATGCCCTACTGAGGTCACAAGTTGTCCCCCACGAGCGGCTCTCCGGCACAGTCATGGTTTCAGAGGCAAAAGGACTTAATCCAGAGCCCGGCAGCTTGTGGCAGAAAAGTGAATGGACCATGCGTTAAACTTTGATGGCATGCCTCCCCGGGAGGGAAAGAATGTTGCTCCCTTCCGCCTTTTTCCTGCCCGGCAGCAAGGTGGCCGCCGCCTCAGAGCTTATTGGAAAGCCAGGTATGAGCCAGCGGTGACGGGGCAACTGCAGTCTCATGGGAAGGGAGACGGTACTGGCTCGTCCTTCATGCCCTACTGAGGTCACGAGTTGCCCCCCATGAGTGGCTCTCCGGCACAGTCATGGCTCCAGAGGCAAGAAGACTTAGTCCAGAGCCCGGCAGCTTGTGGCAGAAAAGTGAACGTTAAACTACGGCGCCATGCCTCCCCAGGAGGGAAAGGGTGTTGCTCCCTTACGCCTTCCCCCCCCCCCCCCCCCCCAGCAGCAATGTGGCCACCACCTCAGAGCTTATAAGAAAGCCAGGTATGAGCCAGCATTGATGGTGCAATGGCAGTCTCATGGGAAGGGAGTGGTACCAGCTCATCCTTCGCACCCTACCGAGGTGACAAGTTGCTCCCCATGAGCGGCTCTCCGGCACAGCCATAACACCAGATGAACAGAAACCAATCTTGTAATTTTCTGGCTCTTTGCAGAAATCCAAAATTGTGCTGCCGCTATTGCGGCAGTAAGACATTACATGATTCTCATAACCATCTATAGAAAACAAAGTATTTCACAATGCCTTTTCAGCAATTCTGATTGTTGGGGGGGGGGGGATTCTAAATAATAATGGTGCATTTTGTCAAAATAATGAATGTAATCAATGTAGAGAAGAGTTAAGTAGAAATCATTTGCCTCACAGGCTTTGGGAGGAGTGGGAGGGGGGTATATTAGGGTTCTTGGTGGTGAAAAATGAGTACTGGTAAGGGGAGAGGTGTTTGATCATTGTATGACCGAGACTTAAACCTGAAAGCTTAGTAACTTTTCCCACAGTGATTCAATAAATAATTATTAGAAGAAAAAATAAATAAATAAAATTATGAAAAAAATCTGAATCAGAAAAAATAAAAGAAAAACAGATTAACTGTTAGATAATCTCTGTACATTCCTATAATTAATCTTGTACAAATTCTAGCAAAAGAAGTAAAAGAAATTATATTGTGTTGTTTGGATGTATTGCGGTATATCCAATTTTGTCTACAAAAACCATTATGTTACTTGCAAGTGTTTTTTTATCTCCTCAAAGTTATTTTTTTATTGAAGTTTCTAATATAAAAGTTTCAGTTATACACCATTGAAAGTCAACATGTGCTATCTGGTAATTCATTCATAGGGTGAATAAGGTAGTAAAAGACTTCAGTAAATACCCATAAAATTAAAAATATGGTAAAATCCTTTCTTATAAAAATTATAGTAGAGTTTTAATTATTTTAATGTTGTAACTTAGAATTCCTTTTAATATGAACTTTTAAAATAACATAGGTTACAGGAGACAACATAAAGGAAAAGAAAAAGAGTAAATATTCAGTTGGTATTGGGCCAGTTCTGTTTCAACTACAACACATGGGTCACTATTTGATTAGAAATGAGAGAAAAGATCCAGATCCCAGAGTCCAGAATTTTATTCCTGACACATGGCAGGTAAGACGCAAATGAAACAAAAAGTTGTATTCTATTATTAAGTATGCTCTTCAAGTCTCTCATTGTTATAGCTCTGTGTATTGTATCTGTCATGAATTTATTGAGTCATAATTTAAAATTACTTATCATCAAAAATGTAAATATGTTGCCATATTTCTTGTTAAAACACTGTCCTCCCGTTGTTCATCAATTTGCTCGAGCGGGCCCAATAACATCTCCATTGTGAGAGAGAAGTCTCCATTGTAAGACTTCTTGTTACTGTGTTTGGCACATTGAATACTCTTGGTAGCTTGCCAGGCTCTCCGAGAAGGGCAGAGGAATTGAACCCGGCTCGGCTGGGCTGACTGTGCACAAGGCAAACGCCCTACCACTATGCTATCACTACAGCCCATTTCTTGTGAAAAGAAAGTGAAAATTTCATTTCATCCATTTTTAATTTGTAGACTATTTCTTAGAGGTGTTTTGATGAATTGGCACCCATATATTTTGAAGTTTGCAACTCACTGATATCATTGTAAAGCATTTCCCAAGATTTCTGGGTCAAAATGTTTCTTTCAGACAAAAATAGGTGCATGGAGATATTTGGACAATTTAAACTGCATAGAAACTTAAAAAAAAGATACTCTGTGCTAGATAAAATGATACAAAATATGAGACTAACACCCAAGAATGGCCGAGATAAGTACCAGGAGGTTCACTCCATGGCTTGGAGGTCAGCCACACATGCTAGGGGAAAAGGCAGCTCAGATAGAGAAGGGAGCACCAAATAAAGGGTGTTGGGAGGATCCTCCCAGGATGGGAGAAGCATGCTGAAAGTAGACTATAGACCAAACATGATTGCCACCCAATGCCTCTTTTGCAAACCACAACACCCAATAGGAGAGACAGAACAAAAGGGAATGCCCTGCCAGAGAGGCAGGGTGGGATGGGGGGGTAGGAGGGATACTGGGATCCGTGGTGGTGGGAAATGGGCACTGGTGGAGGGATGGGTACTTGATCTTTGTATAATTGAAACCCAAGCACAAAAGTTTGTAAGACTACATCTGTACCTCATGGTATCTCACTAATAAAAATTTAAAAAAATGATACATATATTTTTATTTTAAAACTTATAAGTTTATAATAAATGCATATGGATGACTATAAAGTTTGGAATGACTAGTACATTTCTGCATAAATTAACCTTATAAATTTATCACTAAATTCAGTGTTTACATATCAAAGTAAACTCTCCTGTGTTCAATCTACTAGATTTACTTTTCCTATGTTGGTGATGGTCAGGGTTCTTTAAAAAAGACTCCTGTGTTTAGGGTCAAGGATGCGACTCAACAGTACAATAATGCATGCCTTTCATGTGTGAGACTGGGTTTGAGCCTCAGCATGGAAAAAAAAAAGGAAAAGAAAGAAAGAAAATTGTTTTCAGGCTCAGGTTACTCCGTTCCTTCAATGAAGGACACAAGTCAGTCAAGGTTTGTCCATCTACCCCTCACACTGTAAATTTTCTATTTTTTGTGGGGGGTCACACCCGGCGATGCTTAGAGGTTACTCCTGGCTCTGCACTCAGGAATTACTTCTGGCAGTGCTCCGGTGACCATATGTGATGCTGGGAATTGAACCTGGGTCATCTACGTGCAAGGCAAATGCCCTGCCCGCTGTACTATTGCTCCAGTCCCACATTGTGATTTTTCTGAGGTACACTTCATTCTCTGTTATGTCTGAGAGTAGGCCAAAAGAGAGAAGAGCATATGGAGACTGGGATTTTGGTCTGGGTTTTTCATCTTCTGCTCATCCTACAGGTAAAAATCTTTGTCTAGTCATCATTTTGATGAAAAAAAGCATAGTGAAATCAATAGAGTTCTTCATATTTTCCAAAACGAGTAGTGGCATACTTCTATATAGAATATTGAAAGAATTAGTAGAAAGTACTAATGAGAAATAGGCAATCATCAATTTTTTTCCATCTAAGCCACTTTTTCACAACCACAGAAATATATATTATTGTAAGAATTTAATTTTTCAAAGTCATTCTGGGTGGAGCGATAGCACAGCGGTAGGGCGTTTGCCTTACAAGCGGCCAACATGGCCAACCCGAGTTCGATTCCTCTGCCCCTCTCAGAGAGCCCGATAAGCTACCGAGAGTATCTCGCCCGCATGGCAGAGCCTGGCAAGCTCCCCGTGACGTATTCGATATGCCAAAACACAGTAACAACAAGTCTCATGATGGAGACGTTACTGGGCCTCCTTGAGCAAATCGATGAACAACATGAGGACCGTGACTGACTGTGAAAGTCATTCTACTCTTATTGACAATTAGGGGGAAAGAGGTCACAGTTGGAAGATACCTTATTCAGACTTACTCCATCTTTTGCACAAAACCCAACTTCAAGTGCTCCAAAGGCTGAAAAGTATTTCTTCTCCCTTCTCCCCACTCCAGTGAAATCCATCCATATATTTATATGTCTCTGTGTTTCTAACTCTTAGTAATTCCACTGAGATTATACCAAAAGTACATTGATACGTTTGTTTTGGTAACACACTGCTTACATTCTTGACACATGTGATATTCAACCCTGCAGCGAGAGCTCCTGGATATTGTGGATAATAATGAGTCAGCAGTAATTGTTGCTCCAACGTCCTCAGGAAAAACCTATGCCTCCTATTACTGCATGGAAAAAGTGTTGAAGGAGAGTGATGAAGGGGTGGTTGTGTATGTTGCACCAACAAAGGTAGCATTCAAGCAACTGTCATTTCCTTTCACTCTTGAATAATGTATGTGGTTTCATGATGAGTCTCTTTCATGCATGTTTGTAATGTATTTTTTGTTCTTGTCATAGAATATTGAATTAGTTTAAGGTATTCACCATTTTGATTTCATGTGTATTGAAATTATTACCACAGTAAATGTGGTTACTGTACATTCAATTCATTTTTTTTTTTTTTGTGGGGAAGACTTTTAAGGTCTATTCTCTTGGGCTTGAGAAATTGTGTAGAGGAGTTAAGATGCTTGTTACTGACCCACCCTAGTTTGATCCCTGGCACCACTGATACCGTGAGCATCACACAGTATACAGTCCTGAATTACCTCAACCCTGCAACCTGTCCAGCCTAGTTCCAGTGGATGTGGCCCAGGTAATCCTTGACCCTGCAGGACATGAGACTTGCTGCATCCCACATCTTTGGGTCCTCACGTTAAACCACTGCATGCCTGGTAGAGTAGAATCACCAGGTTCCTGAGCACCACTTTTGAAAATCCCTCCTCCGTTGAAATATACTGTCTTAGCAACAAGCATTAAACTTTGGTTGCCATGCAGGAATTACATTTTTAAATTTCTCATGTCTGGATTTTGATTTTTCCCACCCAAACTCTTTTACTTCTTTTCTTTGCAGAGTGGATCTGACATCCACCAATGTACTTCCTTTTTATCTTTTAACTTAATTTTTTTTAGTTGTAGAAACTATAATAGCATATTCTCTAGAATCATTGTGAGGAGAAAGTCTTGTCATTTTGAATTCTGCTTGGAATGAAAGAAGCATCCACATTTAGTGGGCAATGTTGAGTTACTGACTTTGCAGTCTGTGGGATGTGTCTAATATACTTTTTGATACCAGAAACTCTCCTGTTTGTAAAACAGGCTGTTTTCCATCTTTCCCTTGTATTTAGTACTGTATAACTTGGAACTTAAAAATAGAAAGTGTAATCTTTGTCATTTAGCAGAAAGTTTGATGTGTAGGAAATGTCCACTTTTAAGAAAAAATTACTTGGAATTTTATAAATATTCAGATTAAAATGAAATCAAAGCTCAGAAACATAGTTCATGCTTAGCATGTGGGAAGTTATCTTCTCAGCACCTCATGGCGCCAAAACACTGCTGGGCATGGTTCTGGTGGCCCCAAGCACTATGACACCTAACGGCAACACATCACCTTTCAGACTGTCACTGTGGGAATCCAGGGGTGGGCTGCAGGCCCCCTCACCACTGAGGGTTCTACAGGGTAATGAATGCAGACTCCAAATTGGCTTCTAGGAGAATATGTAGTATTAAGTGATTTGTGGTCAACCTCAGATCCCAAAATGATGCAAAAGTTATCTTGAAATGAATTAATATTTGTAGCTTTTATTATTTTTTAATTTTCATGCTTAGTATGCCCAATTGGCCCTAGTCATCTATGTATATAGAACCCTTCGGCCATCTGGGTGATCCACAAGTGTAGGACAGCTGTGACATTCTTCACATGGCTCTTCTTCACAAGTAGGTTGACAGCTGTTTTCTAAAGCTTTGTCTTAAAGGTATTTGGTGACTTTTAAATGATTATTATTATTTTTATTTTTGTGTTTTGGGGCCACACCTGGTTCTGTGCTCAGGGGCCACTTCTAATGGTGCTCAGGGATTGTATGTCATGCAAGGGATCAAACTAAGGTTGGCAAAGTTCAAGGCAATCAGTTCAACTGTTTTTATGTTATGTGGTTTTTCAGTGGAGTTTCTATGATTAATTGCACATCCCTGAGAAAATAATAGAATGAGTAGATGTACTAGATGTATTAGATATATTAGAGTAGATGCATGTTGTATTAGAGTAGATGGGTATATGGAAAATCTTAAAACTGTTTTTAAGATTTCTACATTCATATATATATATACACACATACATATATATACATATGGATATGTATATATGGATATATTTTAAAATGTTTTGGGGGGTCACATCTGGCTGTGCTCAGGGATTACTCTTAGCTCTGCTTAGGGATCTCTCCTGGCAGGGCTTAGGGACCATATGTAGTTTCTGGGATTAAACTGGGTTGGCTGTGTGCAAAGCAAGTGCTTACCCACTGTACTTTCTCTGCTGTTCTGGACATATTTTTAAGTTCCTGTTCCTGTTTTTCTCTGAGATTTCATCTATATTGACCTCATTATGTCAGTAATGGGAATCTCTTTCTTTGTCAACCAGGCCCTTGTTAATCAAGTGGCAGCAACTGTTTTCCATCGGTTTACCAAAAATATGCCAAGTGGTGAAGTTCTATGTGGTGTCTTTACAAGGGATTACCGTCATGATGCCCTAAATTGTCAGGTAAGATTATATTAGTTAATATGTTGATCATTAAATAAAATAAAATATACATACATAACTAGAAAAACTTCTTTGCAAAATAACTTGTAGCAATAACTTATTTGCAAAAGGTGAAATGGCTTTAGAGAAAATCTAATATTGTAACATCTCAAGGAAAGAGAAATTGCTCTCATCTTTATGGCTACTTAAATATTAATTTCATATTTCTGTTATAGTTCATTATCTTAGCATATAGATTGATTTCTTGGCTTCGGAGTCACACCCAGCGATGCAAAGGGGTTATTCTTGGCTCTGCGTTCAGGAATTACTCCTGGAGGTGCATAGGGTACCATATGGAATGCTGGGGATCAATCTCTGGTCTGCTGCATGCAAGTCAAATGCCCTACCTGCTGTAATATCGCTCTAGCCCCAGCATATACTGCACTGTATATCACGGTCCTCCCGTTGTTCATTGATTTGCTTGAGCAGGCACCCATCATATACATTGATTTTAAATAACCTAAAGACCCAAATTTGAAAATATTGACAACACCAGTGACTACTGTAAATTACATTTTCTTGACAAGTATGTATATAGCTACTTGTGATTTCAATAATGCTACATAATAGAAAGACTACCCTATGTTATGTAAATATTAAAAAATTTCCTTCTAGAACCACAGATAAATAATTAAAACCAGGAAAGGGGTGGAGAGAGAGCTGGAAGTATTGGAGCACATACTTTGCTTGCAGGAGGCCTGGGTTTGATCCCTGCCACCATGTTGTTCCCTGAGCCTGGAGCCAAAAGTAGTCCTTGAGCACTGCAGAGTGTTGCCTCCTAACCAAACCAAACCAAACCAAATCAAAAAAACACCAAAAAAATGACAAGAAAATGTAATTGATTGTCACAGAGGTGCGCTGTCCACAATATAGAGTTGTTGCTCCTGATGAGCATGGTCTAGACAAATGTTTCGTCAGTTCGTCAGTTTCCTCAGCTCTTATTCCATAGTCCTTGTGGAAGATCAGCTTCAATACCATGATTCAGATCTTTGAGAATGGTGTCTAGATTATGGTCATATTGTCTTCATGGGGGGACAATTCTGTAGTCATTATTCACTTCAGAATTCTGAACCAATTTGGTCAATTTAAACTAGTTTGTATTTGAAGCAGAGCTTCTTCTTTTACGAACTTTTACTATTTTTTACTATTTGTAGTAATTGATAAGCTTTGATGAACTTTTCTTTTTGAGCCTAAGCAAGTATGTCAGAGTCAGATATTTTAGGAACCAAATCTTTGACAATGAACTGTTTCTACTTTTACTTTTAATACTGATAAGTAAGAATTTTAATTTAAATCCTGTGCTTTAACATTTGATCCTTATTGGAAAAATTTCAAATTCTAAGATTAAAACTAGAACATCCTAATTATTTATTTATTTATTTATTTTTTATTAGTGAAACACCATGAGGTACAGTTGTAGATTTACAATTTTTGTGCTTGGGTTTCGATTATACAATGATCAGATACCCATCCCTCCACCAGTGCCCATTTTCCACCACCATGGATAATACCCCCCCAGCCCCATCCCACATCCCCCCTTACCTATGTGGCAGGGCAATCCCCTGTGTTCTCTCTCTCCTTTTGGGTGTTGTGGTCTGCAAAAGAGGCATTGAGTGGCAAACATGTTCAGTCCATAGTCTACTTTCGACATGCATCTCCCCTCCTGGGAGGATCCTCCAAACACCCTTTATTTGGTGTTCCCTTCTCTATCTGAGCTGCCCTTTCCTCTAGAATGCCTGGCTGGCCACTAAGCTATGGAGTAATCCTCCTGGTGCTGATCTCAGCTATTCTTGGGTATTAATCTCATATTTTGTTACTTTATATCCCCTAGATGAATGCAATCTTTCTATGTCTATCCCTCTCTTTCTGACTCATTTCACTAAGCATGATACTTTCCATGTTGTACCACTTGTATGTAAATTTCATGACTTCATCTTTTCTAAGAGCTACATAGTACTCCATTGTGTAGATGTACCAAAGTTTCTTTAACCAGTCATCTGTTCTTGGGCATTCAGGTTTCTTCCAGTTTCTGGCTATTGTAAAGAGTGCTGCAATGAACAATCAAGTGCAGATGTCACTTCGACTATACATTTTTGCCTCTCTGGGATATATTCCCAGGAGTGGTATGGCTGGGTCAAATGGGAGCTCAATTTCTAATTTTTTGAGAATTGTCCATACTGTTTTCCAGAAGGGCTGAACCAGTGGACATTACCACCAACAGAGAAGGAGTGTCCCTTTCTTGCCACATCCGCGCCAGCATTGGTTGCTTTTGTTCTTTTGAATGTGGGCCAGTCTCTGAGGTGTGAGATGGTATCTCATTGTGGTTTTGATCTGCATCTCCCTGATGATTAATGATGTAGAGCATTTTCTCATGTGCTTTTTTGCCATTCGGATTTCTTCTTTGAGAAAGTTTCTGTTCATTTCATTGCCCCATTTTTGGATGGGGTTGGATGTTTTCTTCTTGTGGAGTTTAACCAGTATTTTGTATATCCTAGATATCAACCCCTTGTCAGATGAGTATTCGGTGAATATCCTTTCCCATTCTGTAGACTGTCTTTGTATTTTGGTCACTGTTTCTTTGGAGGTGCAGAAGCTTCTTAGTTTAAGATAGTCCCATTTATCTATCTCTGTTTTCACTTGCTCGGCCAGTGGCGTGGCATCTTTGAAGATACCATTAGCTTCAATGTCATGGAGGGGTTTGCCAACTTTGTCTTCAATGTACCTTATGGTTTCTGGTCTGATGTTGAGGTCTTTAATCCATTTTGATCTTACTTTTGTACATGGTGTTAGGCAGAGTTCTGAGCCAAATTTTTTTTGCATGTAGCCGTCCAGTGATTCCAGCACAATTTGTTAAAGAGGCTTTCCTTACTCCACTTCACATTACTTGCACCTTTATCAAAGATTAGATGATCATATGACTGAGGGGAGATGTCAATGTATTCAACCCTGTTCCATTGGTCTGCAGTTCTGCTTTTGTTCCAGTACCATGCTGTTTTAATTATTACTATTTTGTAGTACAGTTTGAAGTTCGGGAGGTTGATTCCTCCCATTTTCTTTTTCCCAAGAATTGCTTTAGCTATTCGTGGGGGCTTATTGTTCCATATAAATTTCAGGAGAGTTTGCTCCATTTCTTTGAAGAATGTCATGGGTATCCTTATAGGGATTGCATTGAATTTATACAATGTTTTAGGTAGTATTGCCATTTTGACAATGTTAAGTCTATTGACCCCTGAGCAGGGGATATATTTCCATTTCCTCATGTCCTCTTTTATGTCCTGAAGTAGCATTTTGTAGTTTTCTTTGTACAGGTCCTTTACTTCCTTAGTTAAGCTGATTCCCATGTACTTGATTTTCTGGGGCACAATTGTGAACGGGATTGTTTTTTTCATGTAGGTTTCTTCTCTCTCACTGTTTGTGTATAGGAAAGCCATGAACTTTTGGGTATTGATTTTATAGCCTACAACTTTACTATATGAGTCTATTGTTTCTAGGAGTTTTTTTGGTGGAGGTTATTGGGTTCTCTACGTAGAGTATCATATCATCTGCGAATAGTGAGAGCTTGATTTCTTTCCTACCTGAATGCCCTTAATATCTTTTTCTTGCCTAATCGCTATTGCAAGTACTTCCAGTACTACATTGAACAGCAGTGGAGATAGTGGGCATTCTTGGCTCATCCCTGATCTTAGAGGGAAGGCTCTCAGTTTTTCCCCATTGCGGATGATGCTTGCTGTAGGCTTGTGGTAGATGGCTTTAATTATGTTGAGGAAGGTCCCCTCTATACCCATTTTGGCTAGGGTTTTTCATCATAAAGGGGTGCTGGATCTTGTCAAATGCTTTCTCTGCATCTATGGATATAATCATATGCTTTTTATCTTTTCTTTTGTTGATATGATGGATTATGTTGATTGATTTCCGAATGTTGAACCATCCTTGCATCCCTGGGATGAATCCTACTTGGTCATGGTGTATGATCTTTTTAATGAGTAGTTGGATTCTATTTGCTAGTAGTTTGTTGAGGATCTTTGCATCTGTGTTCAACAGGGATATCGGTCTGTAATTCTCTTTCTTTGTGGTATCTCTGTCTGCTTTTGGTATCAGTGTGATATTTGTTTCATAGAAACTGTTCGGAAGTGTTTTTGATATTTCAATTTCGTGGAAAAGCTTAAAGAGGATTGGGAGTAAATCCTCTTTAATGATTTGGAAGAATTCACTAGAGAATCCATCCGGGCCAGGACTTTTGTGCTTGGGGAGACTTTTTATTACCATTTCAATTTCCTTGATGGTAATAGGTCTGTTCAGTATTCCAGGTCTTCTTGGTTCAGCCTTGGGAGTCTGTAGGAGTCTAGGAATTTATCCATTTCCTCAAGGTTTTGATGTTCCGTGACATAAAGCTTCTCAAAGTACTCCCTGAGGATCCTTTGAATTTCTGTGGTTTCTGTTGTAATGACCCCCTTTTCATTTCTGATTTGGTTTATTAGGGTTTTCTCTCTCCCTTTCTTTGTGAGTTTTGCTAGAAGCTTATAGATCTTGTTAATTTTCTCGAAGAACCAGCTCTTGGTTTCATTGATCTTTCGGATTGTTTTTTGGGTTTCCATCTCGTTAATCTCTGCTCTGAGTTTTATTATTTCCTTCCTCCTGTTCGGATTGTGCTCCTTTTTTTGTACTTCTCCAAGCTCTTAAGCTGTGAGGTTAGGTTACTTATGTGTGCTCGCTGCTGCTTCCTGGGGAATGCTTGTAGAGCTATAAACTTTCCTCTTAACACAGCTTTTGCTGTGTCCCATAAGTTTTGGTAACTCGTGTTCTCATTTTCATTCGTTTCTAGGAATCTTTTCATTTCCTCTTTGATTTCCTGTCTAATCCACTCGTTGTTCAATAGCGCACTGTTTAATTTCCAGATGTTTGATTTAGTTTTCTGTTTTTGTGTGTGATTTACTTCTAATTTCAGCGCATTATGGTCTGAG